TTGTGATGTTTTAGAAGTCAAGAAGCGCAACTTTTGGCACCCCAGTGTATGAGTTGACAGACCAAGGTTGACCAACGAGGTGAACTTCGACGATTGGATGCCTCCAAATTTGGATGAACATGTGACGCTGCGGCTTCATCATGCTCTCCAGACGGGCTATTTGAGCAAGGAGAGAAACGGGTGCGCGTCGTGCGCGTCGTGCGGGTCGTGCGCGTCGTGCTCGTGCGGGAGAGACACTGGAACAGGTCGCAACCAACGCCACAGGTTGAAGTGAAGAAGACGAAGCTAGGCACCCGGGAAGGGGGATGAGTTGGTGATGCACACACACGTTGGATCCTGAGGGGATTCATCAGGCTTCTAAGCCTGATCCTAAAAAATGGGGTTTGGGTTGGTTCTTAAAAGCAGATGAAAAGAGACAACAGATATCAACAGACCAGATGTCAGAGCAATGTAGACCCCCTTCTCCGCACCTTCACCCTCAGAGTCGCTGCGAGGAGGAACAGCAACCCCTCTGGAAATCCTTGCAGCAGTTGGTGGACCATCAGCCGGAGGAACAGAGGTTAGTGATCCAAAAGCGCCTGGTCGGCCGAGAGGAGTTGTCCGGGGGCTCCGTGGGACGTGCTGCCACGGTGGAATGCCGGGGGGAAGGCACAAAGGATGATCTCAACCGGCGCCTGTTATTTTCATTTTCTTCCGGCCACTTGTCCCCAAGGAAACACATCCAAAACCAGCAATCAACACAAACTCGCAACATCAGGCGTTTTCAAACATGTGACCGGCGTTTTTGAAAAGACACTTGAGGAAGTTGAGCCGTTGGAAGACTTGATGCGATGCCATCGGTCATTTCTTTTTCATTTGGCCTAGGGTCGCCTACATGAACCTGACCTCGTTCCAAAGGAGAGGTCTAGTGCTGCTCATATGTTTGTTCTGTGAAGTGATATCCAATCCCTTGACCCTCGCCCCCCCACCCCAAAACCACAAAAACACACACACACTCCACAAACACACAAACACAGAATTGATGATCCAACACCCTGAATGTCTCTAAGGGTTGGTTTGGGTCAAAAATAAGCGTAAACTCCCTGAGAAAAGAAACTACTATGGAGAAAGGCCTTTACTAAGCATCATCATCCGTGACAGGGAATGGGATGGACCAAATATGACATACCCCAATCATATAGACATTTTTCAAGCAGATATGTTAACCAATCATATACATGTTTCGTCATTTCCAAGCAGATATAGCATGATATAACCCCCCAAGATCAGTGCATGGTTGCTTTCTGGTTACATGCATGTATACCTGGGTCTTCATAACTATGCCATTTTTCTGCCTTTTCAATCAAAACCGTTCTTTCAAGCAGGCGCCAACTATTTTGTCCAGAAACACGTTTTGCATTGACATGTTTTCCGTAAGTCAAGGTTTTGAAACGGCGGCATTTCCCGACCAAACGGCGACTTTTGCCGACCGCCAATCTGGCAACTCTGCAAAAACATGGCACTTTTGAAATGAGACGGCATTTTTGATGGCAAACGACTGAAATTTGCGTTGTTTCGCCAAATGGCAGGGGAAAAACAAAACATGGAAGGTCCAGGTATGCATGTGTTTCAACCCAAGAGCCTTCGGACCAACAAACGAAAACGCCGAGGTTCCTGGGTCCTACCTACGACGATTTTCGAGAAATCGCGCCTCGGTCCAGAGCGATGTGTGTCTATGTGACGTGTGTGTGTGTGTGTTTTGGTTTTGAGATGCCGGGAAGAGTGTGAGGAACCCTGACACGCATTTTATTGTTTTTGATGGGTGCCATTTGGGATGACAGATGGGAAACTTCGGAAAGATATGGAAGACTTTGGCCTAGACGTTCGGAGTTCGATTGGGAAGAGTTTCTCAATCACTGGCTTACCAGCTGTCCTCAATCCTGATTTTGAAATATTTTCTCTGAAGGCGGCAGTGCTTGGTGGCCTTTCTTCGCCACTTGGGCCAGTCATTCTGGGAGGCCCACCCAGACACCCAGACCCTTCCAAACAGGTTCTCATGATTTCTCATACCTCCAATCCTGTCAGTCGGGACACCGGTCCCAACCCCCCACTGCCGTGGACGCGTCGACGACGGGCGCCCCCGAAAGGTCAACAAGCCGATGTGGTTGCTGCGATGCATCGAGCATTGCCGACGCAGCTCGCGCCTTGCGCTTGGACCGTGGTCGGGGACGAACCCGGAACCGGTCGGACCGTCCGTGGTCATCCGTGCGAGGCGCCGCGCACAGCGGCACCGGGTGGAAACAATGTTATACGGTCGATTGAGAATAGATGGCACATGATGGCACAATACCCAAGGAGGCGGTCTATATGGACCCCCATACATTAATAAGAACATATCTTTGGGTTTGAACCATCTACTTCTTGAAATCGCTATGATAAGAACTCTTTGAGCAGTTGTGAGTTCTACGAGTCTTTCGTGGGCAGTCAGTTCTCCAGAGTCCTATTTATTCCTATACTTGGAGTGAAATTTTGGTAACTCCACTGGCTGAAGTTCTGATTGGATCGTTCGCACATGGCAGAAGGGCGTGTGGCAGGTCCTTGGGGGCGGGGGTCCTTCGCCACAGTTGGTGAAAACGTGGCCCGGAGTGGGAGAAGGAAGGCATCATCAACTGGACCAAGCATAAAAATGCTGATTGAAAGCCATGACTCATGACATACAATCATACAATTATACATGACGAGTTCATCAGTAAAGGAACAGTTTACTGTTTACTATGTATACGCCTTGTTCCACCACATAGGCACCCTCGGCACCTCACATAGGCACCTCATATGATCATAGGCACTCTCCCCTCAACCATTTCGTAGAACCCCCCCCTGACCGACGTGGCCCGCCCCCGCCCTACCCGAGGGCGCGCTCGGAGCGCGTGACGGCGACGGTGAACAACGAGCGCTTGTGGGCGGCGTTGGACGGCCACGGGCTAGGGGAATCGGACTTGACGGAGGAGTGCTGGTGCCTTGGAGCTAGTGCCGGAGGTAGTGCCGGAGGGAGGTGGGGGTGAACAAACTGATTGCTTGGTGGACAAAAAGGTGGAACCGCAGAACTGCACCCTTGCAAAAACGATGGGTGCTGTTTCTTGCCAGCGATGCGATGGTGTTCTGTCTTTGTTCTTGCGCAGTGGGGCGCAGTGGGGTGGTGTTCGGATGATTCTGCCCCGGATTGGATTGGAGGTTGGGGCCTCGGGGGGATGTGAGGGTTGACTGCCAAGTTGTATAGCCACCTTTTTGGGGAAACAATTCGGGGAACCACTAGGTGGAACCACATAATTCAATCTAGCAAAACCAGCAGTTTGGGCGTGAGCTCGTTTGCAGCGTGTGGGCTTTTGATGGCTGTTGCGTCATGTTCATGACCTGGTGTTGCTGAGCCGAAGAAGCACCATGAAACGTGATGGACTACTACACCAGAAGCCATTCTGAGTTTGAAACCCCTGACATTTGAGCCATGACTTTTGGCTTTGTGATTGGAATTTGTTTGATATCATCAGGCCTGACCAGAGACCGATCCTTATGTAGCCAAGTCCTGGTATTCACCATGGATGTTGAATGATGATTTTCCTAGCTGCAGCTGGGCAGCTAGGCACCAAAACCGAGAGCTGCAACGAACACTGCACATCAAAAGGCCAGCTGAAACCCGCGATGTGGTGGGCCTGAGCTGAGGAATACCTTCGGGCTATTCCCGCCGCCCTTGCAGGAGACCGTGCTGGAGGCCGTTCGACAGAGCTGCTTGGAGTGGGAATGAGTGGGATTGTGGACGCTGATCAAGCCTAAAGAAATGAACGCATAAGCCTCGCTCACGGACCTGATCCAAGAGGACGTTCCTTGTTGCAAACGGAATGTAGGCTCTTGATGAATAAAGACCATCCTTTATATATATATAGATTGCAACATCTCTTCAGATGGGGGGATTTAATCAATCGAAAGTCTATATGTTACAGTATGTATTTTTGGTTGTGAGCCTAGTTTCACTCGTTAAGCAGGTGTGATTGCCAACTCTGTAACTCTGTTTGCGATTTGAACGTCTCAACGTGACGGACTTTGAGATTGGGGCCCCGGATGTTCCCATACTTTGGACTTTTGATGACCTTTTAGCTGTATACCAGCACCTTCAAAGGGGTCACCTGGCTGGAAGCCCCTACACTACCTAGGGATCTCCATTGGACACCCCCTTGAATCGTCCAATTATCTGAATTTGATTGCCTCATTGAGGTCTCAAAAAGGGCGCGTGGTCTCACTCACCTCCCTTCCGCCCGGGGCACTTTCTCGGGCTCCCGGAGTGCTCGACCGAATCCGAGTCTTCGGCATCCGAAGCGTGCCACGAGGCCTCTTGCTGAAGACGGAGAAGAACCCGTCGAGGTTCTTCACCGAGCTGTGTGTCAATGAGGAGGCCGTTTACAACCTGGAAGCCAGGCCAGAAGCGCCGGAGAGGAAGATGCCAGCGGAAAATAAGGCACAGAAAAACAAATGTACCTGGACCCACAAGGGGTGGTTAATAGACACCCCTTGACCTCTAAGGGGCTATCAATAGACACCCCTTAGGGTGTCCTGGTATAGCTCCCACAATGACCAAGATTACCTATGAGTTTTTTTTATTTTTATGTGTGTTTGGTGTTGTCCTTCCCTTGTGTTCTCTTTTTTTTCATGTGTGTCACTGCTTGGTGCTTTTCATTCCCGTTTTACCCTGGTGTTTGTCCTTCCCTTATTTGGTGTTGTCATGTGTTTCACTGTTTTCTGAACATTCCAACCCCGTGAGGGAACAGAAAACACCTTCCTGCAGGGAATGAAAAACACCAGCGTGGACAGTAAGAAAGTCTCTACTTTCTCACGGTGTCAAGTAGATAGCAATGAGAGGATTTGATTTGAAAACAGATGGAAACAGCAAGAGGCCATCATTCTAATATTTTGTGATGCTTCCTTCTGAATCCACTTCTTCATCTGCACGGAACAATGCGACTCTGTTGTTTTCTTCTTTTTCCGCCAATAGGGGGTCTCCGGTTTGCTTCAGCACCACTAACAATTGCTTCATGGCATGTCGCATGGGCCTTTATAGGCTATAGTCATTCAAAGCGGTCACTGAGCTCCACCAAGAGCACAGATTCCATGACCTTCCTAGCTCGTGATCACGTGCTTCGAAAAGCACAACGGCCCCAAGGATCCTCCGCTGCCGTCGTCCGCATCGCCGTCGTCGCCCCACGTGAGTGGCCGACTCGAGGCGCGGGGATGCAGACGAGGCCGTCCAGGTGCAACCTGCTCAAGGCACCTGGGAATCCTTCAGCGACAGCCGCTATCACGAACTGCTGCGGCAGTTGCTGTTGAATACGCGTCACCTGGCCAGGAGTTCAGGGACACGGTTGAATGAAGGCTGATTTATGACCCTTTGCCTGCGCATGCATGCGCTAGTTTCAAAACACATTGATAGAAAGGGAGTATGTCGAAGTATGTGCTATATGTACAAGTATACAGTGTATTGTATGTACAAGTTGTTTTGGCATGGGACCTTCTCCCGGGCTTGCAGCAAACTGGAGCTTTTGGAATCAGGTGCGTTGACCTGTAGCCACAACTTGACCCTCCCTTGTTCAAGAAAGGGAGGGGGCCAACCCAAAAAAGCAGTCCCTCAATCAGCTTTGCTGGTTGTGTCAACCTTCTTCTAACCTTCTTATCATTGTTTTTCCATTTTATTCAGCCAATGTTTTGAGACGGATCTACCGGGTGGTTGTTCCTCCTTAGCCCTTCAGTCGTGTGCGCCACTCCACCTCGGCTCTTCGTAGCCCAGGCAACGCGGAGCACCAAGTGCTGCAAGTCCTGTCCGAGGAGAAGCCTGCGGAGTGTTGGCCTGTGTTTCGTTCACTGCATCTGGAGAGGTTTTCCTCTTGGACTTGGCCCTCCCGAAAAAGTTGACAGATTTAGAGAACAGCCTCAACTGGAGGGTCTCGAAGACCATGGTGTTCTAGCAATCTCAACATGTCCTCCCCCCCTTTCCTTCCCTTTTCCTTTCCCTTCCGGCAGCTGGCTCCTAAGCGGTTCTCACCCAAAAAAGGCCAAGGAACCACACCGGACCTCTGCAGCTCTTCGCAGCTCTGTGCCTTCGCAGGACCTGCCCGGCTCTTCGGGGCTCTTGCAGGTGCATCTGGCCACCCAGGATGCCCGGCGCGAGGGCTCCGCCGAGGCGGAAGAGTGCCGTGGGCCGGGGCGCGGGTCAGGTTTTGGGGGTGGTTAGGGTGGGCGGATGTGGTGTTTTGGTGTGGATGTGAAGTTGAAGGGTAGGTAGGAGCAGCAATGAGAGCAAGGCTTGCTGAAACCATTGAGCAATATATTGAGCATGCATGTTGAGGTTGAAGTAATTTTCTTGAAGTCGAAGTGGAGATGGCTGGTTGTTGCGTGATTGCCGACTTGCAACAGGGGATTGGGCAGGCGTCGCGTAAGACCTGCACTGATTTACATGTCTTCAGACAACCCCGCTACCAGAAGGGCTCTATAGGATGTGACATCCTTCCTATAAGAGTTCTTTCTGGTGTGTTCTCAAGCCCCATGTTAGACTATAGAACAACCCCCGGCTATCCATCCTTCTCCAACGCTTTGCGTTTGCTCAGCTCCTCTCGCTGCTGCATGCAGCGGCAGCCAACGGGCTCGCGCGGCTGTGTGCCAGACTCATCGCTGAAGGAGCGCGCGGAGCGTAGTTTCTGCCAGTTTCTGCCAGTTATATATAATCACTGTGTGTGTGTGTCCCAGCTGTTCTAGATAGATGTTGAGATTTCATGAAGTCGCATGAAGTTCACTTGGAATCATACAGGGGAAGTTCCTTTTCCTCTTAAAAGACGCACCATCGAACCTCACTCGAACTCCGATCTCTTCACCCCGTAGTCCCGGGCCTCAAGCCTCCAGGCTTCGACGTGAACGAGCGCACGGGGCACCAGTTATTCAGTCCTTTACACCTGGCGGCGTCCAACGGCGTGCTGGCGGCGACCGAGCTGCTGTTGGCCAAGGGCGCTCAAGCCTGGCTGTTGGATGACAGTGGCAAGACGCCCTTGTGGCTTGGAGACCACCCACTTCTACTGCGACTCCGTGCGGGGTCAGTACGGAGAAGGGGTGGATGAGTGGGTGAGTGACCAACTGGCGGAGGATGGCCATGTCTACTGAAACAGATGTGAAGGGATCTGTATGAGGTAAAGGGTTCCAAGTCCATCCACTCATTGAGGTTCGCTTTGACTTCGGTCCTCTCCCCTTGTGCCGGGAAAATACGCCATGTTCATCGACGTGACATTTGTGGCATCATGCGTCATCACCAAATCATCGAGAACCAAGCAATATCTAAGAGATCTGCCATGCAGGCATAAAACGTGTGCTTCTCTCTTTTCTTGGGTGAGTGATGTTGGTGTGTTTTGTTCAAGCCACTGGCTGTAGCTGCGTTTTTTTTCCTTGAAGATGCCCCACAAATCAGGACCACCCTCATCCTCTGGACCACCTCTCTCATCCCGAAAATCCGTTGCATCCCCTCACACCCCTCCTCGACGCAAAGCGAGGTATCACGTGGTCACGACCCTGCCGGAGGCCAAGGCGTCGGAGCAGCAGCTGTTGCTGCGGATTGCGCAGCAGCTGGTCCTCGGCATGCTGCAGGCGGGGACCCGGGTGGTCGACACCCGGTCGAGACCGGAGGGCTTCGGTCAACATTGGGGCGAAACATGGGGGAATTGTTTTCAGAGTGAGTCGGGTCTACATATGGCACTCAATCTCCAAAGGCCTTAGGTTTTCTCTATGAGCCCTTTGTGATGTTCTCCTCCCAAAACAGGTGCTGTGGTGCCGAAGTGGGCCTTGCGTTGGGAGATTCCAGGCTTTTGAAGCATCTGCATCCATTGGTCCATTTGCATCCTCAACATGAAACAGCATAGAATCACTGTCGTAAACTCACCAGCAAGAACGGAGCACTGCCAGAAGAATGCGTTCACTTCAGCAGGAGAAAGGCACAAGATGGCACAAGCCTCCAGAAGGTTGGAATGAAGCTACATCTCAATGGCTCATGGGATTGCCAGCCCAGTGGCGAAGTCACCGTGTTTCCCGCTGCTTCTCCCTGCCAGCAACCACCCAACCGAGCGCAGGCCAGTGAGATGGACGAGTTGCTGGTAGAGTCCGCGCTGGAGATTTTGCAGCAGTCGGACACCTGGCACATGGACTTTGTTGATTTGTATGTTGTTTGTTTGTTTTGAGCATTGTTGATTTGTAATGTTATAGTTCTTCTTGTTTTGAGCATTTTCTCAATTGAGTATAGTGTTTATGTCAAAAAAAATGGTAGGGTTTTGTTTTGTGCCATCCGTGCCCGCCTCCGTTGGCCCTTTGAGACCGGAGCAAGAAAACACCTGCCTTTGAGGGCTTTCATTGGTCGCAAGGGGGACATTTGTTCAGTGTGGGTTTACCATGTGTACTTTTTTAGTTGGTTGGGGAGCTGTTCACTGTGGGTTTACGATGTGTGCTTTTAAGTATAGTTAGTCTATAGTTGGTCTGCATCATTGTGACCTTGTAGAGGCAGAGAATGGTAGAGGGTGGAAATTCCGATGCAATCCTATGGTGGACGGGGAGGTGTTCTTTGGATTTTGTCCGACCACAGTTTCAACCCTTCATGACGTCTTATCATATAGTCGTCAATATTACCCTATACAGGTCAATGACCTCGTTTTGCTGGAGTTTGTCATGCAAAAAAAACACTATTGAAGGAGGTAGAAGACCAAGTGTTACTGAGTCTTTGGACTTGTAGAGTTACGTTGTTTTAATAGAGTCTGATGGCCTTGCCAAACCTGGTGGGCTTTGCCCCCCCCAAATCCAAGCATCCTTGGCTTCGGATTGCTGTTAATCCATCCCGCCCCTTTGGGGGGGACGACTCCCGCTTACACACCGGCGGAGGAACTGACTTGGCTTCTTCAGCTCCATCATCGCTTGCGAAATCTCCAGTGCGCAGCTGAGTGGGGTCCAAGCTAGCCGAGTGGCCAGAAGATCATGAAGTGGATATGAGTTCCAGTGTTGTTCAACTGCATGTATGTAGCTGTTGAGCAGAGCGCCACAAAATGACTGTGACATCCTCGAGGGAATCAACATAGACAATCATAGACATAGAATGAGGACCTCGAGGTCCAACATGGTCCAACATCCCATTCCATTTGATAGGACATGCCAGTCCCAACCCATCTCAACCCCTATATACCCATATTTCTCAAGGGGATACTGTGATACATACAGTATATATCCACTGATATCCAAGACTGATGCGATGTGTGCGGCACTGGTGAGCTCGACTTGCTCGGCACGTTTTGGCCGCGTAGAAAAACGATAATCTATACTCATCAACTGTGCAACCATGTGAGACAATTTATTTTTACTTCCTCGAACTGCCGCAGAACCCTGCCAGGAAACGACGTCTGTTCTATTTTTTGGGGGTGCTTGGTGGCGTTCGCTGCCGAAGGCGGCGTTCGCTGCGGTTTTTCACCCGGACATGTCTCGCGATGTTGTGTTCGGAGGGGGTTGGCCTCGCATTTCTAAGGCTCGAAAAGACATGAAAAGACCTTCTGAGGCGGAAGAACCAGCAGATCTTCACCCCTCCGAAGCTGGCCGAGTTGGGCAGGATGTCACCTGGCTTCTAAAGCGGTGCACCGCTGGTGTGCTCGAAGCGGTGCAGGGCCCTGATGATATCATATTAGATTCTTGGTATATACGGTTTCCAGGGGGTGTTGGATGAACAAATCGGATCATTTGGGGATGAATCAAGAGATGAAGATGATGAAGAGTCAAGACACCCCGTACATCTCTTGGAATCTTGGAATGAAGATCTTGCTCGGGGAATTGATCATTCGAAGTTTGGGACCAAGACAGAAACTTTTGCAGCCAGATGTGGGGCACTGGAATTTGATTTGGGGTGGGCATTTAGGGCTCTCAACATTCTATAAACTTCTAAGTAGTTTTGGGGGAACCATCCAAAGCATCCACCTGCCCTCCCCTCCACAGCAGCTGCCGCCGGCAGCGGCCGGCCAGCAGCTGCCAGCCAGTACTGGGTCCTGCAGCCCGGTTGCACAACAAACGGAGTTGGTCAGGTGGCAGGAAAAACAACAGAATTGGTCAGATGGCAGGGAGTGGTGGGTTATAGAGTTTAAGGTTAGTTAACTGAGCCTGCCTATTGTTCTTGAGCCTTATTAGGCTAGAGCATCAAATGCTCTTCTTTTGTCATACGCACGGACCTTTTCATCAGACATCTTCCGCACCTTTTCACTTACTGTGTTATTGTAAGATCGAGCCATTTGACTTGGTTTTGGATTCCGGCTTGAGACATGCTCGTGGTTTTTGAAATTGCCCAGCGTAGTCTCGGTCTACAGGCAGTGAAACGGTTAGCCCGGTGACACATTAGATGGGAACTGGAGCCCATGAATTATGTTGATGTCGAACGGTGCATCAGTGCAACCTGTAGGCATGTAATTATGCCATGCAGGTGGACATGCAACCTGTAGGCATGTAATTATTCCACTCAGGTGGGTGTGCAACCTAGGCTAGCAGTAGGCATGCAATCATGCCACTCAGCTGGTGGGATGAAATGAGCACAAAGTCAGCAGTGCTTCATTAACGCAGCACTACACAGGAGAAAGGCACACAACCAGACCACAACAGCGCCTTCTCATACCCCTTCAATAGGGGGAGAGGCCAGCAACAACCAAACAGAGCAACAAAGACGTTCCAAGAGAGCAAGTTTACATCACATCCAAGCAATAGAGCTGTCAGTGAGTGGCACCAAATCCAGAAGTGTCCAAGAAACTCATTGTTTGTTCTTTTCGACCGCTCGGAGGTACGCCTGCATCACCACCTGGTTCCAGCGCCAGCTGCTCGATCCACACGCGCAAGCCTTCGCGCCACTTCTGTGCAATTTGACGCCTTAAACGCTTCGATGGGTCGATCATATGCAGAGAGGCCGTCTTTGACATCCTTCAATAGACGCGATCACAAGCTGCCTGACAGCGTTGCCCGGTTGCTCGTTCTTCAGAGTGCCTCTCCACAGCCCCCGCGGGGCACAAAGTCAAAGTAGCAGGAGCACATCTCTGCGCTGTAGGCCTCCACAGTGTCGCGCGTTTGTTGCGATAGCCATTCTCCACTGGCTCTGTAAGAGATGTCAAGTTCGCCACCAGCCAGTGAGCTTCGTTTTGGCCCTATAGCATATAGACTGTTAGCGCACAGTTCATCCACGCGGTTGCTCAAGCGAGTTCCCAAGCGCTTTTGCAGAGTCAGAGGCTCTTGCCATCTCTTGCCTTCAAGTTTGGCAATCTTCAGTCGCCTCTAGTTGGATGGCTCACTGGCAGATTCCACATTCATCCAGAGATCTTCGCGAGAAACTCTTCAGCGACAGACTGTACCTATTAAACTACACCATACTAGACCCAGGGATCTCTAGCTTCCTGCCAGGCCTTGACCATGGTGGGTGGGTCATACGGTTTTGGCCAATTGTTTAATTACTTGAGTATTGTGGACACCACCTCACACCGCCCCCACCCCACCCAGCCCCAGCCACAGAGCTGGTCCTTTCTCCGGCTTCAAAGCCTTGGATTGAGTGCAGGTGCGGGATGCTCAACACCATTATGTGGACTTCATACAGGTCTTGTCTTTACCTTTCCCAGATAGGTTGATTGTTACGCTGTGCACAAAATACCAACCTATATGGAGTTGTGGCCTTTCCAGAAGGCATGGAATCACCTTAAAAGGGGTCAAAGGTTATTTGCATTGGGTTTGACATTAAGTATGCCTGTATACCTATTGAGTTCTCTTAGTTTTACATCAACACCATTTGCCACTCTAATATGACAACATGTTTGTCTCACGTGATCGTTGAAAGACAACATGGATCCATAATGATCCTGAGGGATTTGAGGTTTGTAGCATGAGATTTTTGTGCATCACGATGTGACCATCATGGTTTCAAAACTAACAAAAGTAATCATTTCACGAACTACCAGATCTGTATTTGACATGTTCTCCTGTTTCCTGATTTGGGTGATCACTTGGATAATGAACCCCATAAGGTCAAAAAGAACATTAAGAGTTGGGTTCCCACTCACCCAGTTGACGATGAGGTTTTGTTGGCTTTGGTCATCCATTGGGGCTGGTGGTAGGCACCCCGGCACCCCCATTCCCTCAGGAACCCGGAGGAAGTGGCCCTTCGCAAAGAACTGCAATAAGGACGGGCCTGGGCGCTGCACTGGGTCATCACTCATCACCAATTCCTAGGAGGGTCCTTCTTACAAACCCAATGGCCCGCATGGGAGTGACCTTTTTGTTCTCCACATGAAGACCGCTCCCAGCCGCTTTCCCTGGCACCTTCTTCAAACACACGCGTACCATGTTTACTGTGACATAGTAGTAGGCTTGTCCTATGGCATGTGTTACACTGGGTGCCAAGAAAGGGCACCCTACACCCATCAATGCCTTCATCAACACCCGAAAACATAATGGTGGTCAATGGTAATAAGAAAGGGTAAGTCACATTCTTTGTTTGGGCCTTATTATTGCATTGATGTTTCTTGCTGATGAAAACTTTGGCACTGCAGTGTGAGCGGCACTGTATTTGGGATGTCCAAGAGATAGGAAACAAGAGTATTCATTCCCATACCAAGAGACACCCAAAGCTGCCTGTTCAATCCATAAGTTTCTCTCTATCTATATATGTATGTGAAATCATCACATATCCCTGCAAGTGGGGCCGCACACTGTTGGCCAAATAGTCTCCTTGCGCTCCAAAATTCATCCCTCATAGTAAGCCCACTGCCACCCTGAACGGAAATATCTATAAAGTTCAACAACTGCGTGAAAATAGCCACAACAATTTCACACATAACACATTGTACAACACATTATTTTCTTGTGAGGGATCACGGAGTGGTCGGTGTATCAATCAATACACTTTGGCCAGGGGAGAGCGCAAATGGTCTTGTAAAACAAACCACTGGGCGAACAGGCATTAGACCATTCATGGTCCACTTCACACACCAGCAGATGCCTGTGACAACAGACTTCCACTGCTGGGACGTGCAAGCCTTAGCAATCATTGACTGGCTTTTCACTCCTTCATTCAGCTCCTCAAGCACCGGTGAAAAGATCACCTTATTCTCCTCCAGGGGACTGAAGGTGGAGTCTACTGTCAAAACCTTGTAGCAACAGTTTCCCAAAACAATGGAAACATATGGAAAACTTGTGGTTGTTGACACCTGCCATATTGAGGGTGAAAGGGATGCAGTCCTGTGTCAAGGTCCAGCCACTCAAAAGGTCATGTTTGCACGCATGGTAAGAGATCAATGCCTTGTCGGGGGTCACCTGTCTCTTGGCGTCCAAGACATTTGCAAAGGTGGTGCTTTGGTTGTCCAAGATGCACGTCTCATTTGGGTCGTGTACCACGAATTCCATCTCATTGTTGGATGGACCATTCTCTTCCGGATATGTTTCACCTTCCTTTTTCCAAGCACGGAAACGACCCTTTCCAAATCCAACCAATGTAGTCCCGAGTCCAATATTGACCTTCCAGGGTGCAAAACACAGAAATTGTATAACAATGGTATTACTGTACCTCGCCTCAAACCGATGGCTTTATATCCAACACCCCCAACATACCAACCCCAAAGCCTGCTCAGAGCCACAGTTCTGGACATACACGCCATCAACATGGAAGAAAATCTTGCAGTCCTTCAAGTTCACAAGGTTGATTTCATGCAAGAGGGTACCCTTTGGCAAACGACCCTCTTGGTCGCTGGAAACAAGCACTGCCTTAACCTGTTCCCCATCCACCTTTGGCTTCTTTGTTGGTGGAGTTGCCATGCTTGTTGCTGTTCCAGTGCGCTTGTTCGGGGTGGTCTGCTTCTGGAGGTCCTCAACCTTGGGGTGTTTTTCATTGAAGGTTTCAACAATGGCTTTGAACTCCGTGCCCAATTGGTTATGATCCCACCATTTCTTCACCAAGTCATCGGGAATGGCAATCGTGGCAGGCTCATTGTCCACCTGGCAAGCAGGCAAACAAACTAAGGTTTGGCTGTAAAGAAGGTAAAGCGAAGTATATACTTATTCCCCACACCCAAAACATGCCCAAATCAGACCAACCCACAAAAATGAGAACACAACGGCTGGATAAAGACCCACACCTTGTGGATAATCAGGCGCTTCATAATTGGGGGGGATGGCTTCTCTTCCATGTGAGACTGTGGAGGTTTCACATCTGGGATGACAAAGCCGGGCACTTCAAAAGAATTCTCCAAGATATCTGCAGTAAGGTTGTCCATGAGATGTTCCAAGAACCAATCATAATGCTTCGGGTCAAGCACTGCAAAGTAGCGCAATGGTACATTCAGATTCTTGAGCTTTTTGAACCCTTTGAAGAAGCATCCAGTCAAGGGCACCAAGTCGATGATTCCAACGCACGACTGCGAATCAAACTGGACACCATCCTTGGGTTCTAGCATGAACTAAGGGGAATAAATAGGAGGGTCTACTAACTGAGCCTCAAACAAAACCAGAGAAACATGTCCAAAACTTAGAACCCATAATGGAGTTGTGGTTCCATGGCCGCAGACAGAAGGGCCGATGCTGCATTCCCTCCCACTTGTGCATACTTTGCAGCACCCTTGGTATGACCATCAGCATCCACAGTGGCTGGAAGGAGCGACTCTGCCCCAGGGATGGACAATGCCTCCATAGTTACCATCTCCTGGGAACCACAAGTATCAGCGAACCATGGTAACGGTACTGGTGGGGAAGTTAATCTCACTAACACAGCCCCCCCCCCCAAAATATCCCAGTCCTTGCTGGACAGCTGCTTCACCTCATCCAAATTCCTGCGGTTCTTGAAAAGAGATCCAGACCTCCATATCCAGCCCTTGGTGCTTTTGAGCGTTGAAGCTGGCTGTAGGAACCGACCCGGGTAGGACATAGGGCGCTGATCTCTGCCATCCTGGTTTGCTGGATGGTTCCAAGGGCAAGGGATTCAAGGTGCCAAAAGTAACAAAAAGCAAACGCCCAAACATGATGTTCCTGAAAAAACCAGGTGTCTGTCTTGGATTTGGGGTCTATGCAAAGCTGAACCTGCACATCAACCCCAATGGATGCGTTGTTGAGCTGCTTCAGGATAGTGTGCTCCTGCATGAACAGGTTCCCCGTGGAATATGTGTGGATTGGTGTGAGGAGGATCCCTGCTGGCCCACCACCAGCAGTCTCTACCATGGAATGCCCCACAACCATGGCATTGACCTTTTGCAGGTTGTCCGGGCAAAGGCTTGGGGCAGCGTAGTTCAGGACAAAGAGTTTCACCTAACCAGGGGTGCCGGCTTTAACAGTCCTTTTTACACAAACCATTGAAACCAACAAAAATTTCAGAGCATATAGGTGCTTATTTTTAACACCCCACACCATGGACTTGCAGTTCAACTTCTTCAGCCACTGCTCGGATTCCTTCTTGATTTCATCGCAGGTCTCCAATGCAGTCCCAGGCCCAAATTTCTCAGGATAGGCTAGGAGAGTGACCCTGGTGTCCAAAAAGGATTGAGCTGCTTGTTTGACTACACCAAAGCGCTTGTGCAGCCATTCATCCTTCAGGTGCAGCATCCTCAGGTCAAACTCTGAAACCTTCCGCTGGTAAACATCCCAAGCCCGTTCATCAAAGTTGATCTCCTGCTTCAGGAGCTCAAACTCATGGCCCTCAACTCTGATCCTCTCCGCATCCAGAGAGGATTGAAGCTGAAATGTAGATGGCGCTGCCCCGGCGTCTGGTGAGGATTTGGACTGGCCATCCAAAATTGTTGCAATGCCTTCACACAGCAAAAATATAAATTCAAGACTTTAATGTTAAGTTTGAGTAAACTTCAAAAAATGGCACATAAAGTCATCAAAATTGATGAAAATTGAAACAGAGACTTTAGCAAATCTTTGGGGCTGGCATTGTCGCGGGGCATATACTTGAGATCCTTGTCCCCCAAAGCTGCTAGAAGATGCATCTCCATGTCAGGCTCAGCACCCCCTTGGAGCTTGCCCAGAAACCTGGCAGTTGGTTTGACCCATAAAAAAGTAAATTGGTAATTTTGTTAAGTCCGGCAAAAAGTAACCAACAAACAATATTAAAAACAAGGACAAGAAGCTCGGTCTTCATCAAGTCTTCCGAGTTGGGAACTTGCTCGCAAACTTCACGCGCCAATGCACCTTGAATGTACCCATTTGGAATAAGAACGCTAATATGTTGAAGGCTTTCATAAAACTATTTATGAAGATTGAGGCTGCGAGGAAAAACATGTAACTATCATTCAATTGAGGCACAAGCAAGGGCACACATCTCCGATTTCTCTTCTAGCTGGGCTTTGGTGAGCTTCCGCCGTCTTCCAGTATCCAGTGAAGCATGCTGCGAGTGAACCAGAGTGAGCATACAAGATAAAGACTCAGCCGTGACAATCCCCCGCTGCACCCATGGTGATGATTTGGGCGCACCTCGGGTTCGGAAAGCATATCCTGGCACAATCTTCCGACTGCTCAAATTGTCATCTGACCACGGGCCACCTCAATCTGGGCTGCAATCATGGAGTGACAAGTGACCAGGGGCACACACTTGTTGTTGGGCATTCAGTCTGGAGGGTTTATGGACACATATGTTTATTGAAACAGAAGTCTAAAGGCCATGTGTTTGCTAACTGACCCCAAAAAAAAGATGATTGAGAAACAATATTTAGAAGTGTTTGGTTAGGCAGCCACACCTTCCCACCCAAACTCCGAGACAGAGTTCATGATGATGGTCCTGCAATCCTCAGGCATCTCTAGAACATTTCCCACTGCATGCCGCTTCACCCCAATGATCCGGTCATCACGGGCTGCTTCATCATTCCTAAGAGTTCCACAAAGTCAACAGGAAGATCTTTTTGACAACAAAGTCTGAGTAGTTACCAGCGTGCTGCACCCCTGACATTGGGGAAAGCAGTTGGCTCTGACAGAAAATTTTTGAAGAACTGTCGAAGTCAAGACGCCAGGTTTTGATCACAAGGTCATGCTGCAATCCAGCTGCCCGCATAGCACCCAAGGAAAACACCCATGATATCGCATTAGGCGCACGCCGGATGGCACCTTGAACTGATGTCTTCATATTCCAGAACCTTGGTGGCCGCTTCAACCCCAGGAGCGGTGTTAAGACATTTTTTGGGTTCATACTTAAACCCCATTGGGCTCATTCACACACCAAAAAGGGAAAAGTAGTTCCCACAAAGGTCTAGGGGCAGTTCTTGTTTCTTGTCATTGAGGCGGATGTGTTTGCAACGGATGCGCTCGAGACTTGCCAGGAAGGTAGAAGGCACCTCAACACCACATCCAGTAAACATTCCCTGCCTGGTGGATTCATGCCCCTTCAAAAGGTATGGGGGCAGAGATACCTCTGAGTTCAAATAGATTGAACAGGACAACATAAACCTCTAGCCAAAAAACAGTGATGCTGTTCCGGTAGCAGTAGATCAAGACTGCAATGGCGGTGTGAATCCGCCCTGCGCCCTTCAGGAAGAGGATGCTTCCCGGCTGGATGGGCTGCGCATCAAGAGGCAAGCCTTGGGCCTGAGGATGGACAGGTCTATGATGATTAAGAAACATTCCACAATCAACAGTAATTAGTAGAGTCATGAAAGGCACCGGTAACATGGACCCTTTGAAACCATGTCCTCCAATCGAATCCAAACAGGGCCAGTGCTTCCAGAGGATACGAAGCCATCAATGCAGTACTGCTGCAAAAGCTTCCGGCTTGTCTCTAGAGCAGTGGGTTCACGAAGGCTAGCTGCATTTTCTGTGGAAAACATCCATAGTGGTAAGGTGAACGCTTCCACATCTTCTTCTTGCCCTGGGTTGCAGAGGGGGAGACATGCTTATTCCAAGTTCATGTTCAATGGTTCTGACCATTATGAAAGCACTAGACCTTAGATAGCAAAGTGCTTGGAAACCCTGGACAGGCTGAAGCTGGTCTACCATGAAGCCAGGTAACCTCGAAGAGCTGTTGGCACAGGGTAGTGAGTCAGGTATGCTGTTGCCGGGTCCATAGGAACCATCTTCCGCAAGATGTCCACCAAATCCGTTTGCCGGCTCTGGGCGGAAGGGAAGACCTTGTGGATGTACTGTCTAGCACCACCATGACCTGGGCCATGTGTTCAAACAAACCAATAGCATGTAATCTTGAACCATAATAGGACCTGGAAAACAAACCTTCTATTTGCATTCAGTGTTCTTTTGATTTCATCAAAGACATCATCAAAGACCTTCTCCATTGGGGTTGCCTCCACTATGGAAAAAGGAGCTGTGACACTGGTATGCCCAGCACTTGATGCAACTTCCTCAACTTCCATGCTACCAACCTTCTCAACCTTCTGACTTGGCTCGTACAGAAGGGTAGATTCATCCCCTGCCACGCTCATCAGGGCATCCTCCAGCCCGCGTGGTTCGACCAGTCCCGGAATCTCCTGGCTGCATGGGTTCAGGAGGTCGATCCAGTGAAGTTGGTGGGGGAACACTGAAACATGTCAATCCAAACTTTCGATTGTTGATGAGCCTCGGCAGTGAGGGGCTCAGACTCAGCGTCAGAGTCCATCCCCACAACTGTCACCAAGTTTGAGCAAAAAGTAGCTCCCGGGAAGCAATCACAGCTTTTCAGCAGAACTCACCTACACATTTTGTGTCATTGAGTTCCGCCGAAAAAAAAATTTTTCATCCCAAGTCTTAGGAGCAAGGATGGTTTCAGCAGAACTCAATATCACAAAATGTGTAGTGGAGTTCTGCTGAACAGGTGCTGCCATTATGTACTTCTGCTGAAAAAAATTTTTTTCAGCAGAACTCAGCCTCACAGATTGTGTTGTTGACTTCTGCTGAAAAAAAATATTAGTTCATCCTCGCAATCAATCATGGTACGTGACCTCCGACGAAAAAATATTTTTTCAGCCGATCTCATGACCCCAAATCGGTTCGCAACCCCAAATCTTCCATTGAATTCGATGAGCTTATGAGCTTCATGAAAGGTGGATTGGATCACAGGACTTCCCTCCTGGTCCCTCCTAAGGCTCTCCTTACTTATTGTCTCACCGCCCAAGGTTTCTCAAAAGTTCAGCCCGGCCTTCTGGGTTGGGTGTGGATCACTATGATGGCATGTAAAAAATCCTTGTGGCAATAACAGCGGGACACAGGCAATAAGGTTTGATCCTGGGTGGAAGGGGATCATGCCTGAAGCAGGTGTGAACCTGGTCTCCCGATACCACCAATTTCAGAAAAGTTGATGCGAGTCCAAAGCAACTAGGAGGGAGATCCTCAAATGGGATGCTTAATCCTGGACCCATCATGTCTTTTAACCGTGGACTCTATACAAACAATCCTGCAAAGCTTGGGATGGCCCTGACTTTGGTGGGAATGCCCTTGTTAGAATGCAAAGCTTATACAGAGAGGTTGGTTCCAAGCACACCCACCCAGAAGTTGAGTTAAATCACAGCTGACACAAACATAAAACCTGCTGAAATGAACCTTGGACATGGTCATAGGCCCATATTATATAAACTCCAACCAGATATTCAGCTTCACATCACTTTGGGAAGCGCCAGCCTCAAACCCTGGGATGGTTCACCGCCAAAGCTTGCCCAACACCCAGGATTGGGGTCACGACATTGGCCAGTTGGCAGCCTGTGCGCAAGGTGCCAAGGGGAAGCAAAAATCTGGGACAAGTGGCGTCGGGGTGAGATCACTAAACAAGACCAAGAGATTGTATAGTATAGGGTTTTGCAACCAGTCCAGTGTTGAACCTACTATTTAAATTACATCCCATATCACAGGTCGACCTTGAGTTAGTCTCAAGCTTTTGCTTTTCAATTTAGTGCTAGTTGGGCCGTGCAACTCATTGGTGGTATGAACGCTGCCCGCCACCTGACTTGTTGTTTGTTACCCAAAGCTCTAAGATAATAACCAAGGACATCGCAGCGTGCCAGCAAAACATTTTTCAGCCCACTGGCTAAGCTCCACAGGGAATCCAAGTCAAGTCAGACCCCAATGCTTCGCTGGGAATCCAAGACCCGGTGGCAGATGGTTCTCACCAATCCATCAGGGTATGTCTGGGCCCATGCTGATCTCTTGACACCATTCTCACTGCCCTGGATCAGCTCATGCTCGTGGGAGTGGTCACAGAACTTCCCATTGAGGGCATTGAAGAGCGGGCCCAAATTTGTCATGAACTTGGTTCTTTTCTGCATGGGCTTCCCCGACGGGGAAACCAAACCAAATTGGCACTGATCGAAGGTGGCCAGTTGGTTTCCTGGACGTTCTAGTAGCTTCTGAACCTTAGAAGGCAAGAACCCATGGGTAGAGAGACAACTTCTATGGGTGGAACCAACAAAAACACAACTGTCACAGGTCACCTGAACCCCCAAAAGAAAAATGTCAAAAGAGGCCTTTGAAACACTTCTGGGCCATATGACAGACATGAGAATTTGTCATGAAACAAGGGCCCAAAAGATTCTAGGTATTATTCCATTTAGTCATAGTCACTGACTCTCGCTTCCATGCTAGACTTTTCTCGGGGTGCTCGAAGCCATAGTAGGATCCAGTGTCATCTTGGAACGTTGCTAGCCACATAGTTAAGTCAATGTGCCCCAGGGCCTCCTCAAGGTCCATGTACTTCTTACGTGTCCCCTTCATGCGCTTCCAGTTGCTAGCTTGTAGCTGGCATACTTTCGTGCACGGCGGTGATAGACTCAAGTAGTATGGTCTATACAGGGCGACATCCTGAAGAAGTAAACGCACATAGTCTTTTTGGGAAAGGTCAACAAAATGCTTCAGGTCATAGCTTCGCAAACTTCTTCCCCCAATCTCTCTCATCATAGGTGATAGTCGGGGTAAGCTGTATATCTCCCATAGTGAACAGCGCTGTGGCTGGATTTGTGGTGGGTTTGCATGTAGCTCACGAAGGTCCTCATATGGCATGACAGCTACAGAGTCAAACCTCGCAGCAGCATCTGATAACCGCTCATCATTCCATGGAAACGCAGTGTCCTCCTCGTTCCCCTCAGTAGACACAGGCGCACTGGGTTCAACCTTATTCTTGGCAGCAGGTCGCTTCAACACCGGCTTAGCCTTAGCACCAGTCTTCGCAGCTGGTTTTTTGGCCACTGACACCTTGTTTGTATTCCTTGGCTTTGGTTCCTGAGGTGGCTGAAAAAGGCCTGGGTCTCCAGCATCACCTGGTGGTAGGAAGCAAGCCTCAGACCCCACATCATCAGGTGGAAGGATCAAAGAGCTTGAAGACTTCCGGGCCATCAGCTCAGTGGCTAGGCTCCTAGGAACCTGGCACCCCACTAGCACCAACCTAATGAACAGAAAATAAGCAGCAATCCCAAAGGCAGCATCAGCATTAAAAAATACTCCAAAACAGGATACTTTTTTGAGGATTCGGTAGGCTTCTTCAACTTCCTATTGGTTTGTCTTCTATTGCTTCCAGCAGTAGGCTACTAGTGGTAAGAATTCAGAAACATGTCCAGTGCAAACAAAGAGATGCCTTTAGCGCATGCAATTCTTTCCCCACACCCCAGTCTGCATACGGGAGCAATGCATGGCTCTCCATTTGATAGCTGTCACACCCAGGGTGGCACAGGACCAATTGGTTTGATTCTCCCAAACTGTCAAACCAACAGCATTGACAATCAATACTGTAACAACAGTTTTCATGAACAAGGCCAACCCTAGGATTCGTGCACAGCAAACCCCAGGCATCCGAAAGAGCGCCTCATTGAGATCTGTCTCTCAATGAACAAAAGGCTGGAGGTCCACCTCCTAAAATATACTGCAACATTTAAGCTGCACGACGGGAAGGCTTTCTTCCACGTCCCCGCCCTCGCCCCTTTGCCTTTGGAAGTGCTGCCCTGGATTTGGCCTTAGCTTTGGCCTTAGCTTTGGCCTTTGCTTTAGGAATTGCCCTCGGGCCTCTCGGTCGGAAATTTGGATTCAAACAGGTCTTGCAACCCTTGGCTGCAAACCTGCAACGAGAACAACCTGCCCCTGTTGGTGCATCTGTACCTCCACCATTCGGGGGGAAGCAGCACTGGCTTGGTTTCATGTTCTTCTGACGGCAATACCACCGGGACCTGCTCAGAAGGCCCATCAAAAAGCACACCAGCTGACAAGTTCTCTGGGTCCACTGGACCGGAAGCATTTACCTTACGCTTCTTGCGCGGGGCCACAGGCACAACTTCCTCTGAATCCAAAGGCTCATCCTCATTTGAAACAACCACAGGCTTGGGGTTTTTGGGAGGCCTCCCTCGCCCACGACCCCTTCCTCGGCCTTTCCCTGAAGGCCCTGACCCCTTGCCCCGGGCAGGTGCCGACGGAAGTGGCGTGACCCGCACTTCACGAACAGGGCCTGGCGCATATTTCTGCCACCTGGTTGCAAGGGAGGCGGTGGCATCAAATAGGATCAGCTTGGCAATCCAGCTCATGTCAACAATTTGGTAAAGGTAAAAGCCCATGGACGCTACACACACAAGTGTCATATATTATGTAGACCTATCCAGGTATATGACTATTAATGTGTATGTATATCATTGCAGTAGTGGTTTTGTTCAAACACATACAGGAAAGACACCATTCGATTAGATCAGACTTCCTACTGGGCTTACATAATTTGAGACTAGTGACCCAGCTGGGCTGGGTGCAAGCCCAATCGAGCGGGTCAATGCACTGAAGTTCCACTTAGGCAACGATGGTTCTGGCCAGTCTTGCTTTTCATTTGACTCCTGGGCAGGAAGTTGTGACATGAAATCAAAAATCATCCTGTTTTGTTTGATTGTTGGAAAAAACACCATTTCATAGCAATGATGCCCAAAACAAGTGGGTTGATCAGCCAAGTATCCACCCAGTCTCTCAATGCCGCAGCAGCCCTGGTAAGATTCCATGGCTCTGCTTCAACAGCAGCAGCTGTTTTCAGAAACCTAGGCTATTGGGTCCAAACTAAGCGACACAAACATAAGAGCAGCAGGTAGTTGTCCTTGGGTCAGATTGTAATGTCATATGTGTTAGTGTACTATGGGAAACCGGAATGGCCAGGTGAGACCTAGCCATTTCAACTCATGGCAAACCACTGATCAGTAGGCCTTTAAATGGGACTTTCCTTTTCCAGTGGAAAGGGTGAAAGAAAGATACACCAAACCATTGGCAGGCAACTCCTTCCTGGCTCTATCAGCAAGAACTGTTCTGGGCATACCTGCCAAGGGTTGACAAAGACGGGGAAGGTAGTCATGTGGAAGAATGACCAGAGGCTGCTGTGATAGGCAATCGCTGCTAACAAGCTCCTTCACCAACATCACGCAATCCTTACCATTTGGCGCATAGTCCTCCAAGGCCAAACTGCCCCAAGGCCAAAATGGCCCAAGTGTTTTTTTTGCCAATGCATGGCGCATTGGACATACTAGTCCTTACCACCTACTTGTCTTTTTGGGTGCCCTCACTCCTCTCCAATCTCTGTAGGTCGCCATGGCTCGCCATTCTCACGGTCCAGCGAAGGCAGATCCTGGGGGGCCCCGATGGGATTAATTGGTGGCTTTGTGGGAAGCACCTAACCTTGAATTGGTGGCTTTGCAGGAGGTACCTCACCCTCAAAGGAAAGAACAGTTTTTCCAAACACTGGAAAGTAAGGCTCCTCTCGAGCAATGAAGCGCCATGAATGGTTCACATCAGGCTCACCCCCCTTGGCATTTGGGACCAAGCCAGAAATTGATATATCCAGCTGCTCAAAGAATGCCTTGTAGTTCAGGGTGCCCTTCAAAATGCAGCATCGCATCTCACGGCCTTTGGATGGCATGACCTTTGTCTCCAAGATGCTGAGGAAATCCTGCAACAGTTTGGTTGGAAGGTGCAGCAATAGAAACAGGGTCATGAATCATGGTTCTATTCTATTCAATTAAAATTCTGTTCTGTTGTCAGCTAACCCGATTGATCACAACCTATGATTGGACCATCATACTCCTCCGGTGTTTGAATGGTGGTCTCATTCTGGAACGATGTCACTGCAATAGACAGCCGTTGGTCAACACCATTGTGAGTGTGGCCAACCTGTCCATAGAAGTGGCTGACACTCTTGAACCTTGGTTGTGTGCAAAAACCTGTCAAAAAATGCATGGTCGAGTTCAGAACTAGCACCAAAAGGGTAAAGCATATATGCAGGTGAGAAAAGAGATAAAATAATCCGCAAATAATTCTAGACACTTGGATCGAGCAATGGCAAAAGCTGACCACTTCGCTACCGTTTGGTTCTTCCCCTCACGGCACGTGTTGTCTGTCTGCAGGGTTGAGACAAAGAAAACACTTGGTATTATATATGTTTTTTGGAATCCACACTGGTAAGGACATAAGGGCAAGAGCCCTCGCCCCTTCCCAAGCAAAGAGGAACATTGGAAACACCAAGTGGGAATTTGTCAGCGCAAAAGCTTTCTTGGTGGACATATCCTATTTGGTTTCCCACACCTCCAGAACAAGATGTTCTGGAAACACAATGCCCTTCTTGGAAAGGATGTCCGAGCACCAATCCAGAACCATATCCAGCACAGTCATCTCCATCGAAGCATCCTTTGGGATGTCATTGTCCAGGATGAGGAAGCCCTCGCATACCTTGGGCAAACAAGTTGATGGCTTTGTCCTTTTGCATGGGCCTGCAAGACCCTGTACTCCCTGCATGGACATGGAAGTGGGGAACACACCAAACCAGGCCAAAACGTCCCAAACCAGAGTTCAACTTTATACTAAGGTGCTCCATGGGCAATGAAGCCCACAATGTGAATATTGGGGCGCCAAAGTTGGCTCAGTGCTTTTGCTGAGCTCAGATTCCGAGGCCATCTCGTCTTGGCCTGATCTAGCCCATCGATGTCTATCTTCAATACAGATTGTGTTGGCGCAGACTCTGTCGTTGTGGTCGACTCAATGGAAAGCATCTGAAGTCGATCCTGCAAGCACCGGAAAGCCTTGACGCCATCGATGTGAATCTTTTGGGCCATCTCAACATTGGGGCGCTCAGCATCCGAACAACTACCAATTCTGGCTGAGAATTTCGCACATTGATCACACCTAGTTGGTCCAGCTTGGAACCCCAAAAAGGTGTATATAGTAGTTTTTCCTTCTGCTACCACAAACCCATGGTTTTGGTATTGAAAAGTATTGAGCCAAAGGTGGTTCGTTCTTGTTAGGCAAGGCACCTGCTGTGTTGACTAATCTTCCGCATGACCAAAAGTTGCCTCCATCCATTGTCATAGACATTCCGGAAAGTCCTGTTGGAAGCCCGTTGCTCTGGAGGCACCCCAGCACCCTCTGCCCAAAGGAGGTACTCGGCATGAAAAGCTTCCATGGTCATATGGTTGATGTGGCGTGGCTGAAGATCACCTGCTGTGAGATTTGGTACCCTTAAGCCCAAAAAAGTCTCCAATAAACAACATAAAATGACAAAGCGTGAAAAGGTTTCCAATAGTCTAATCTGGCTTGGTCACCTTTGGCACCAAGACCAGAGGCCCCACCCAAAGCACATGCAGCAACGGGGTTGCTTGCGCAGGCGTTGTCATGAAGATCCACCTTTTGCCCAAGAAGGCCAGCAGGCAACTCGGCCGATGGGTCGCCTTCAAGGTGACAGTTGGGGAACCAGTTGGGCCTGTAAGTATACAACCGGTGTTCAACCTTCAAACATTTACAACCCAACCCTGGCTTACATTGAACATCTTGGGACAACTAAGCTTGCCTGGCAGAACTACACCTGACAAATGCAAGTTCCCAACCAACTTCTCCACCGCTTCAGTTTCAGCCAGGTGCTCTGCCTGGGCTGTTGAAAGGTCTCTATATAAAAAGATATACTATGTCCCCTTTGTCAAACCCCTATAGCCCCTGACCCCAAAACAAATGATTTGGGTAGAAACATGGATTGTCAGGGTGCGATGTGGTAAAAGTAGTAAGTGAAGAAGGCATCTGCGCTGTCATGCTTGGGTGTCTGTTGAAGGCCTCCATTGTAGGCGCGCTTGTCAATAGGCACCTGGCTTTTCTCCACACCACCTTGCAATCGGTAGACCTGACCATGTCCAAAATCATCAACATATTACCCAAGGCTTAGCAAACACTTTGGTTTTGTGATGGTTTGTGTCTTAGTTGACAAAAACCCCAAAGAAAGAAACAGGTATTGCATTTCAGCAAATGACCCTCTTCCGGTTCACCAAGAGGAGGCTGCAAAACCCATTGAGACACACATCGAAGCCACACACCTGGTACGAGTACTTGCCATCCACCTGAGGGACAAAATACATGGACATAATAAGCAGGGTTTGGTTTTGAGTTCATGGAGTCATGTTTCAACAGCAGCTGGAAGTGGCACAACAAGTGCAAGTTCTCTGAATTGATTCACCCGGCGCATTCAAGTTTTACCCTGCACCTGCAACAGCTTGTTCAAGAGCCCCAGCACATAGGAGTTCAGCTCATCCTCCGACCACTCCTTCATGCGGGCATGGAGGTCCTTGGTTGTTTGCAGCAAACGCTGGGCCAATAAAACCATTACATCCTACATCCGGCATAGGAGCTGTTTACAGCAAATCCTTTTATCCTACACCACACCCCCAGAGTTGAACATAAAAAAACAAATTACAGTAAATGGCCAAAGAGGTTCTTCTAAGAAAGCCTTCCGGGAAGGAGCCTCCTCAAAGCACTGGATGCACATCTTGGCACAACATCTCCACTTTGAATTAGAGGTCTGCTTCTCACCACTAATCCTGAGTGAGGGGCTGGCCAATGATGAGTTCACGATAAGTTGCAACCCAAGAAACATTGGGTGGGTCCACTAAGAAAACCAAAGCAAAAAAGATCCTAATCATTCCCATGTGTCAACCTTGGAGCATTGCGCTGGCGACAGGGTGTCGCTTGAGCTGTTCCATGCATCATGTTCGGCATGGACGGGGTCAATTCAATGACCGGGCCATCATCATCCGGAGGAAGATCCATAGCTTCCGAGGGCACTAGAAAATGCAGAGTCTACTTTCCAAACATGTGGGCATTAATCTTGAGAGGGGTTCTTAAGTCTCCTATATATAAATATCTTCTCCACATTATCCACCACTTCTGTTTCAGCCAAATGCTTTGGTCATTGAAATGTCACTCAAAGCCTGACACCAAAACAATAGGTGTGTTTAAAGGATTTTAATTGTTTTTTGGATACACATGTCTGGGTGGGATAGTGAAGCCATATGGAATATAATAGGTGAAGAGTGCATCCACACTCCCTTTGACTCCAAAACATATCTTCTTATAAACATGGGTTGTACCATTTCAGGGTGGGATGCAAAAGATGTGAAAAGTATCGGTGGGAAAAACATCCACAACAACCCCATGTCCCCTTCCGCCTGCCAGTGAGGCAGCGGAGCACCGCAGCAGCGGCAGCGGCCAGCAGCGCTGCCCACCCACCCCCCCCCACCCCACCCATCCCACTCTCATCTCACATCCCACTCTCATCCCATCTCCAACAACAAGGTGGGTGAATTGAGAAGTCCAGTAGATCAAACAATAACATCCTATTTATTTGTTTCTATTTTTTTAACATGGTGGTTGGACTCCACCAAGGCGTCCCAGAATTGATTTCCAAAGACCCATGATTGATCGCAAAAGTTTACAGGCTGGTGAAGCTACGGTGACTTGGACGCCCGGCCTCGGCCATCCTCCCCGAGACCACGTCCTCTTCAGTCCATCCGCCCCCCCCACCGGCGCAGACCGGCCCAGACCGGCCGTCGAGACGGGCGTCAGGCGCTACGAGACGCTGAACATGCTGCTCGCCTTCTTCGACGGCCCGGAGAAGTGCCGGCTCACCGTGCCCGACGAGGCCGGTCCCGCGGGGAGGTGGTCCGGTGCAGGTAGAGGTAATGGATCGCTTTAACAAAGATATGCAAAGCGTGTACAGGTTCAGGACCCATATATAGAAGATTATAGAAAAGCCCATAATTAAAGACTCCCTCTTTGGGTCGTTTTTTGAGGTTTAATTGGTCAATCAGGTGGTCCCTTCTTTTGGAGGCCTTGGCCTTGGAGTTTTCCGCGGTGATGAGCTCCGAATTCATCCAGGACCGGGCTGCCGGCTCGGACTCCGGCACGCCCGGTTCGCCGGTCGAGCGGTGAACAGCGCGGCGGTGAAGCGATGGAGACATAACGGGCAGGTGTGGAGGTTGGAGGGTTTCTCCATTGGTAACAGGATTCTCTCAAAGCAAAGGGTCGATCTTCCATGGCATTTGTTTCAAAAACTGGTGAAGCAATTCCTGTAGGTTGGGTCGTGTCCGGATTTTGCGATGTAGAGTCGCAGGCAGTCGCAATGGGTTCAGGACAAAGCCTATAACAAAGCCTCCTCCTAAAGTCCTCTATCCCAACGTGCTTTGCTCACCCACTCCTTCACATCCCCCCCAAAGACGGCGCTTCCCTCCTGCGGACTCGGTCGTCCTCCGTGGGGCCCTCCAGGAGCAAGAACAGCTCCGAAAGAAGGTCAACGCCATGGCGAAGGCGTCGAAAACGAGCCCAAACGACGGGGGGCGGAGCCGGAGTGTGAGTGTGGAGCCCAATTGGGGCACCCGGTGAATTCATGTGCAGTGAGAATTGATTGGTTTCGTGGGTTTTTTTGTTCATTCTTGATAAGCACAGGAAGTGGTCGTGGGATCTGTAGAATGTGGGGTGCAACCCACCAGGTTTTTTTTGTTAGAAATTCGTCATGTGGGAACTCTCGCAGGCCACTTTAGAAACATGAGGCACATTAGGATGTATAAGGATGTTTTCCCACATGTGTTTTTCCATGACAAATACCTCAAAATACCTCTATGCCTCTGGCCATATAATGTTAATTTTTATATCGTTCACCAATCTTTGCGGCTAGTTAGTTGGGACCTGTTGGGGACGCACTGCACCGTCATCAGGTCATTTTGCCCCACCTGAAAACAAGGGACGGACCTCATTCAACAAACCATGGCATTGCATGGCTGCATTGCCATGTTGCAATTCACCCACCTTCCATCATTCCTTGACCCACGTTCCAAACAGCAGAACTTCTCTCCCAAGTCTGCTCACCCACACGCTTCGGCGACCGCTCTCAGCCGCTCTCGCTTCACCTGCGACCCGCAAAGCCCAAGGTGCTTGACCTCTCCAGACCGTTGATTGCCATGTTGTCGGCCTTGCCCTTCAAGGCGGCGTCTCGGTTTCTCCAACCGCGATGGGCGGCGGCGGGTTCAAGCGGCAAGCGGAGAACAAAGAGGTGGGCGTGGTGCTTCGCTTCTGTTTAAAAGGCATGTGCAAGAGGAATTGTCCAATGATCCGCAGTTTTCTTGAACAGTGAACATGTTCTCTGTACAGGCCTCGATATCCATTTCGGGTGGGAGCGAGGCCGAATCCCGAGGCCGAACACGCCATGAACTGCTTCCAGATTGAGGAGCGCGCACCTTGCGTGTCGTGGCTGTCGCACTCGGGGAGGAGGCAAGCATTGGGAGGTGCGGAGCGTGCGCGTGGCGCATGGAAGGGGGCTTCCTCAGGCCATTCGTCAACATGGACGAGAGCACTAGCGGTTTGCGTGGGTGGGGGAGTGGGGTCGGCATTGCTCATAGACTTGACATACAGAAGCTGAAGAAGCTTCCTTGCATTGGTGACCGGTGGGTCACAGATGTCCCTAAATCTGGTGTTTGGGACCTCAATCCCTGTGAATGGTGAAGTCAGGACCAAGGTCCAAGTCATGTTCAAGAAACACCCATTCCGACCCATCAAGGGGTTCATATATCCAAGGATGTTGTATCCAAGTGGGAGCTTGTGGACATTTTTCCACATGCTGAGGTCTATGCAGCTTTGCTGCCCGACAACGACAAGTGTTGCCGCCGTGTTTGTCGGCATGTGGGGTGACGGGACCATGTGGAAGCGACGCAAAAGCTCTCTCGATCCGAATTGATTGAAGGGACCATCCTCAGGAGGTACCTGGACCCTGTGGGTTTACTAGATTACTAGATTCATCTATAATAGATTCTGTTTTGTTTTGGATGTAAATGACGGGTTTCCTGTAGATGTTCCTCTCAATTGGCTCGAGTTCTTATTTTTGGCATCTCCTCCAAGTTCCATCGAGGTTTCGACTGGTGCTTTGTCCGGAATGTTCCGGATCTGAATGTTCAGCAGTTTGCGGAATGGACCCCAAATGAGGGTTCGCTTATCAGTCACGCCTTTTTTGTTAGCATCCTCTCACTTGGTACAATTGCACCAGCCCTTTGGCGGGTCCATTTGGACTTTGATGACTTTGATGAGCTATTTGGCGGTGGACCCAAGCTAGTACGTTGCTAGCACTTCGCTATAGCAAACATCTCACAGAAGGACCAAGCAAGTCGAAGGCGCCACCGAAGTGTTCCTTAATTTGCTAACCTTTGCCTTTACAATTCGCCGCAGCGCGGCCAGGGAAGAGTCAGATCCAGGAGAAGAGGAGGTGGAAGACATGCCCTGTGTGACGCAGTGGGTGTTGTTTTCAAGCTCAGGGGGTTCGGGTTGGGTAAGGTAGTTCGTAGCTTTCATCATGAGTCCACCCGTGCTCTGAAAGCCATCCAGCTTTCACTAAATCCTTCACAATCTAAAGCAACTCAGAGAAAAGAAACTCTTTCGTAGGGCGGTTTCACAATCGAAAGCTTTTGCTTGTTTCTTCTGCCGCCCCCGGCCGCAGACCATCCGTCAGGTGAGGACGTTGAACCTGAGCGGCGACGTGAAGCGCACCGTGGGGATCCTCCACAAGTGGGCACCTGGGACGGCTCCGGAGTTGCTCCTCAAACGGTATGGCTGGACCCTCTAGGACCCTAGAACCCACCTGAAACACCTTCTTAAACAGGTGCTTATAGGGATCCCTATAGGGGTTGTGGACAGCGGCTCAAGGCGTTTGTTTACCAACAAAAATCGCCGTGGTCGGAGCTCCGGCGTTGCGGCGTTGTTCTTTTTCTTGGATGGAAGTCACTGGTTGGATGTCGATGTTTACCGTTGGAGCAGTGACGGCGCTCGTTTGACAGTCCTTCATGTCCTTGTCGATTCTCCAAGAGCCCAACATGGAAGTTGAAGCATGTTGAAACATGGAAGGACAGCCAATCCGAAAAGCGACCTCTAGTGCTGACAGCGGTGCACATGCGATGGGCTAGTTTTCAAAAAGAAGGGGTATAAGGGGTACGGTATATAGACTCGATCAGAAAGAGAGCCTTTTCATTCAGAACTCGGGTGCGCAAACCAGTTCTAAGAAGTCTTAGAAAAGGCTTTGCGCACAGGCGTGGGATGTTCACAAAGCGCACCACCTGGGTCCATAAGACCCTGACCAAATTGAGATGGTCGCGTAAACATGGGTAGCGTGATTGATCCATACACCTCAAGTTCCGAAAGGCCCTCCAAGGCCCTGGCGGGTGCGCCTCGAGTTCCCGGCGGACAAGTGAATGACCTCATTGACGACAGTGGGCTGTATACTTGCCAACGTATGTGTGTGGTTGTAAACGCTTTAGTGGCTTGCTAACGTTTCCACTGGGGACTGAATCAGCCGAGGAGAACGAGAGGGGCTTTGGATTCATCCACGATGAGAACGACACCAGCTACTGGGCGGGGCAAAGGGACCAAGAAGAAGTCATGAGAAGTCTGTCTCCACTGATTGAAATCCTACAGGTTGGCGAGTTGGCGAAAGAAAAAACCTAGAGATCCCACCTGAGACCCGTAAAACCACAAAAAGGCGCTTTGAAGTGGGGTGCTTCCAAATAATCAATACTCGGGGACCAAGAACAGGGGTGTCCTTCCTTATAGAAAAAATACGCTTGTAGCGGTTAGCATGGGAGCGGTGCTTGATGCTTTACTGTACCATAATTGTATCCCCCCAGTGCCCCAAAAAGGTATAAATATATATAGATAGATATTATATAGAGTTTGTAATTTTTAAAGTATTGTGTCTTTAATGTATGTTTTTGACATGTCTTCTCAGACTATTATAGTAGACAGGCCTTGGGACCATTCCAAAAAGCAGAAGCTCAACAGGCCATGTCTGCACCAACTTCGGCAGCTCGGTGGAACTCCCAACTGAGCCCAAGCACGGTGTTCACAGTATATACGTCCACTAAGAGGACTGGCCTTTCACCACCCCTCCAGTGCTTGGCACCTGTTCCAGCACCCCTCAGGGGCGGTTCATCATCACCTCGCCTCCGGAGACGAGGCGATCCGCCTTTGGACATCTTCGTGCACCGCACCAACCTCATGGGTTGCGCGCCAGGCAGGGCGAAGCAAAGCGCCGAAACGCCGGGACAAACGCCGGGACGCGGCAGAAATGCAACTGGAAGGGAAGCGAATGGGAGGCTTCACGCCACAAAAGACCGGAAACTGAAGATGGTGGAAGAAGCGCGGGCGCTTGGGAACAAGAAGCAGTTGAAGATAGTTGAAGAAAGGGGTCTCCTTTTTTTATGTGCAAGCGGCGATTCGGATGCGCACGCCTCCGGATAATTCCAAAAGACATGCGCAGGGTGGAAAGACCAAAGCACGGCACCTCCTTGCCGTTTTGAGTTCCAATCTTACTCGTGGACTCGTAGAGGAGACTGGCACTTCCTTTCAAGCTAGCACCCCTTCAAAGCACCATGATGGTAGGATGGCATACGTAGTATATATGTCAAGGGCAGTTGTTGATTAAAATATAGGTGTGCATGCATCACCCTGACCCACAACCAGACGAACCACCCTCAAGATGTTTTCTGGAATACGACTTGGCCAGCTGAGTCTCATGCTGCTCTTTGGGCCAGAAAAAGAACCGCACAGCGAGATTTCCGCAGCGTCCCCTCGAGAGCTGCACGAAGAGGCTACCCGGTGGATCTCCAGGAAGGCCGCCGGATTTGCTACATCCCGGGCTTCCAGGAGCGGCCTTTGTATCGTCCTGTGAGTGTTTTGTCCTGCATAACGGTGTTTCTGAGAGATGTGACAACCCAGACCATCCATCTATGGAATAGCTATATAGTTACACACTAATTATGATATATGGGTGCGGGTCATATCTATTATTATATTATACCAGGACCCTCCAAGGGGTGTCCAATGGACTACTCCACACTACCTATAGGCTTCCATTGGGCACCCCTTAGAGGGTGCTGGTATCTTATGTTTTTTTTTGTTGATGGTTCAGGCAAAGACCTGACCAGTCTACCATCCACCCATCACCATCCACCATTCACTCGTCTACACCTACGCCGGCGCCACAGGACGGCCGCACCCGGGCCATGAGCGCCGCCATGATCGACGAGGACTTCAACGTGGACCCGGTGCATCTGCGGCGGCCCCGCAAAGCCAAAGCGGCGGAGCAGAGCAAGGACTGGAGGGTCGGACTGATTAGGATTTGGGCGGTTTCTGGAAGAACTTGATGTTTTCTGGAATCGAATTGGGGATTTTCAGCGTGGTCCTGCCCACCCCCCCCCACGCAACAACTCATCGCCCGAGACCCGACCCCAGCAGCAGCTCACCTGTTCTTCCCGGAGGAGCGCAAGATCGCCAAACTCAAGGAGGCCATCGAGAGAGAGGAGCATCCTTTGCCACTTGGGCGGCCGGTGGGGCTCGAAGGAAACTCAGGTCGACTTTTTGGGAGTGGCCGCAGCGCAGCTGGCGGAGGTTGAGGATGGATTCAGAAGGGGAAATGGTATCGGGAGCGATATGACATGTAGGAAACATGAGTGTTGCCCATAGAGGGTAGAGTTTGTTTTAAAAAGATCGACTGTTGACCAAGAACAAGAAGTCCTCCGTGCGAGTCTTAGCGGAAAAAGGTCGAAGAGCTTCATGCAGTTCTTGGCCACTGCGGAGATGCAGGAAGTGATTCAGGAGAACGTTGCTCCTGACGGGGGGGTATTGCTGTTGTTTTTAGTATGTTTGTTATTGATAGAATTGTATACCTATAGCACATATATTCTACAGGATTCCAGCAACCATATTTTATACTTTAAATACGCTACAAGATTCCAATGCCAACCACCGTTTCACACCTTTCCAACTATGCACAATGTTGGTCCAACTCGGCTGGTCAAGATCGCCGCCAGAACTCGGCTGGTCCAGGAGAAGCGCCAGGAGGGCGAAGCATGGCTTCGCTGCTTGGGTTTGCTGCGGCAGCCGCCGGGGGGGAAGCGCGACGACATCTTGTGGCGGAAGGCGTGGGGCGGGGCTGGTTTGGGCGAAGGCCCCGATGGCGTGGGAGCAGGGCGGGGCGTGGTGTCGTGTGGTGTGCGGTTGGTGTGGTTGGTGGTGCGGTGGTTGGTGCTGGGAATTCAGTGGTGCAAGGGGAACAGTTGGGAGTGAGCTAATGATGGACTGCTTTGTGTACCGTGCAATTTGATTGAGAATGGAAATGCTTCGCCTGAAGTGGAAGTTGGAATGAGGGGATCGCGGTTCAAAACCTCTCTCCTAAGGCGAACTGGATCTTCCAGCCTTTGTAAGTCCAATTCTACGCTGCCCACATCCCCAAAAGGGATCCACATGCCGAACCCGAGGTACGGTGAGCAGGGAGACGGATCGTTGTTTTTGCCGCCAGGGTCGGGCCGAACAGTGACATACCGAAGCTCCAACCTGAGGCAGTGGATCCCTTTTGGGGGGGCATAGACAGCCACGACAGCCGTCCTACGCGATCGCCGTCAGGAGATCGATCGGCGCGTGGACATCTTCTTGGACCTGCGCCTCGGCCGGGCCTTCGCTCGGCCGGGCCTTCGGGTATCCTTCGGTGTCGAACGGCCGCAGGCGGCGCAGCCCAGCCGCCTGAGGTGGTTTTCCCCTTTTTCTTCGACGTCTCTGAAGAGCTTTTTGTTGGAGGTTCTCAAGGTCAACCAATTTGAAACAGATCGAAAACCATCCGTTGTTGATCGACATTGCATATATATTGTTTTCCTGTTGGCAGGACAATGGAGAACGAATGCAATGCACGGTGTGAACAGGTCCTTTTGGAAAATCCATGATGTTTGGGGGGTGGGGACAGGCTACGTCAGACATAATGCATCGCATTCTTTCAATTCCTTCAACCCCTATGAGAGTTGTCAACCCAGTTCTCAATTTCAGCAATTTCACTGTCAAAAAGCAATGGATCATGCATGAATTTGATTGCCGATCAAGAGCACCAGTGCACAGCTTCGCGACGACACCTGCTGCGCCCAGTGCATCCAGGCAAGCCATTGGTGGTAGTGCACACCAGTGGTTGCAAAGACAAAACAAAAGGTGGACGCTCCTGATGGAAATTGAGCATGCACTGGCAAACAATTACTAAGACAACACCGACGTCCGTGGCAGTGGCAGGTCACGTGCAGGACGACGCAGGGTTTCTACGTGTGGATGTTCATCTTGCCCAACGGCTCGTCTCACTAAGCCTGTCAACGCTTCCATGGACCAAGAGTCACACGGAGATGGGTGCCGAACGAACGGAAGTCGGGGTGCCCCGACGTCACATCCACGGCCCCTGGATGGGACGAGCCAAACCACCCCGTCTTGTGACTCCTTCAAATGAGTACCTTCTTTCAAGCCCTGTCCCTCCATCCTCCCCTCTCAGTCCTCCAGCTGGACCGCACAAGGAAGACGTCACCGCTGACGAAGAAGGACATCGACTACCGCTGCAAGCGCATCCTCACAGAGTTCTGCATGCGGAGCAGCGCGGTGCCATGGATGCGTCGTGAATCTGGGGCAACAGAACGTTGAATGATGAATGAAGCAATGATGAACGCATCCACCCAGAATCATTGATTGTTGCTTTGCATTTTTGCCTTTATCCTTTCAATCATTCAGCCAAAATCCGAACATCTTCGGCACCGCCATGCACCGCCAAGTGTCCCACCCGACGAGCTTTTCCCTCAGGTGCGTGTGAGCGAAGCCTTGGCCATGGTGGAGAAGATCCCTGGCGGAGTGGGTGAATTTCCATGCTCTGTGAGGTGTTGGTGTTTAGAGTGCCCACACGGCCTAGACGAATTCCAGGTTCCCGTCAATGAAGGACTTTCGTTCAACTACTCCTTGTCGCCCTGACGCCTATGCCAGGGCCCAAACCTATTCCAAAACGCAGCCCATGCTTGTTCCCTGTTCCACTCTCAAACGTATATAAGGGCCTTAAAGAATATATCCTTCAACGCTGCGAGAGGAGGTGGATCCAACTTCCTTCCGTTTTTCTTGTTTTTCACTCGATGAGCACCTCGCCAGAAGCCGAGCCAAACTAAGGAGCACCTCAGGGAAGCGCCGGGAGGAGGTGCGCAGCTGGCCGGCCTATGTGGCCACGTTGCTGCGCCGCTTCGACCCCGAGATGACCGCCCAGATGGAGAAGAAGCCCAAGGAGAAGGCCGCAATCCGTGCATGCGGCTTCGACGCATGCCTCGACGTGTCGATCCTTTGAGGCGGAGCCGAAGAAGGAGAAGGAAACCAACGAGTCTCCAGGGAGGGAGGAGGACTCTCCGTGCGCGCAGCCGATGTGGGCGGTGAGGTGAGTGAGAGTCGACGTCAACGTGGTGTCACTGCTTCCCCCCCAATTCCAAGGAAAGAGTCTCAATGAATGAACGGTATTCACATTCGGGTGCCGAGCTTGGAGGAGAGGAAGTCGGGGTGCCCATGATCCACTCACTTGGGGACTAAAAGCCACCCCTTGAGTGACTCCTGGGGTAGTCAATTCAACCATTCATTCAAGATTTTGCCACGTGCTTCTGGATTCCAGTCGACATGAATGAGAAATCCACAAAGCAGCTAGCAGCTGTAGCTACACTGGAGACTAAACCGATAATTCTTAAGACCTCAGCCACTGTAGGCCCATGTATAGAATTTAAGATTTGGTGTGCAATCCTTATAGGAACCTTGGGAGGGTCCCCAAGTGCGGTCCTTCCATTCCCCAAACGTGCAGAATCCTGCACGGGCCGACTCCAGCCCCGACTCCTGAGGGTGACACCACCAGTCGACACGGTGCATCCCACGCGCGCGTCGAGTCGCACCGCAGGAGAAGGACAGTGGCAGCAGCAGCGAGCCACCCGAGGCTTCGACCGCGCCCGCGGGCGCGGCCTTCGCCTTCCAGTGAGATGGGCAAAACGCCGAGCGACGCAGGGAATGATGGAGACGAATCGCGGCCTTCGTTGCCTTGGGGAGGCTGAATGAAAGTGGATCCGGCGGTGGAAAAAGTGGGAGATTGGAAGTGTATGATTCGATCAATGGTCCATGATTTAGAGAAATGTCGGACAATCCAAGATTGAGACGGTAGAACATCATGATTCATGATGGTAGCTATTGGACAGAACAGGGGTCAAAAATAGCAAAACACTGACTATAGTGGTTGCAACTGGACTACATATCAAGCGTCATGATGCGTCATGTTTGTGAATTTGTACATGCATGCATACGCTGATCATGTGTCCAACTCAGCCTTCCGAAGACTTCAAGGCACCACCTTTTCTTTGCCGCCTCGGCGCGTGTCATCGGGTTTGAACCTCGGGTCGCGAACGCTGCGAACGCGGCGAGATGAGATGGACAAGGGGCCCGCTGATAGCTTACCCCTTCTGAGAGGTCTCCCATGGGGCTGACGTGATGTAGGCAGGTGTCCTGGGTACTGGGTAGATTGGATTGACAATGATTGACATATAGAACCTCGAAATAGAGGAAGTACATGGACCCTCTTTGCACAGCATTTTGGACCATTGGTGTGTAGCGCTTGTCAGCTCCTTGGCTGGCTTGTCTCTGACGACAGATCCATCCCCATTGACTGCCTGAAAGGCATTCCCGGGTGATAGGCGCTGCGGACTCGAACGCAGCAGGGTCAACAGGGGCCAGTCCTTCTTGTCAATGTTGCCTCAATTGATCAAGACAGATGATGCTTTTAACTGCTCTCACGATGTTTCTCCAAGTTTTGATGTGACTTTCCCTCCTCAAGCATGTCACAAACACTTAGTGTACTTGTGTTTGTTTGCTTTGTTGAGCTTCTTCTCCTCAACAGAGCCCCTCGCGACCGGAACGGCGAGTTTCTGTCGTTTCTCCCTCGTTTTGGTCACGGTGACCTGCCTTGCGTCACCGTGCGAGCATTGGACCGGCTAGAATTTGTGCCAAATTCGCTCACGTGCAGCTGGCTCGGCCTGAAACCCTGAGCCTAGCAGGTGTGGCTCCCGAGCCGTTAGCGCCAGACATGGAGCAGGAGCCTCTGAGACATCAGGGTCATGAACAGGATCTGTTTTCCACTTTTGACTCCCTGGTTTTTCGTTTGGTAGATGAGCATTTTTCACTTCCTTTGAGCCCTTTCTTCGCCAAAACAAGACAAGAGCGCCACCACCACAGACGCGCCGAGACCAACGCCTGCCCCTGGTGCCGCAGATCCGGTTGCCACCTTGCACGCACCTGGAACTCCACGCGCCGGGGGGGTTCCACCCACCTCGCCGCGTGGGGTTCCCAGCACCGCAGCTGAAAGAAAGGCCTTAATGAGAACGGACGCTTCGGACGCTTCAGACGGAGCAAAAAGGATGCAAAAGGCGCGTGAGTGGCCACATCTTCACGGGCCACAGAGAGGGTTGGCTTGGAACGACGGGTGGCTTGAACACGTTTCCACCCTTGGCTCTTTCGTGTGGATCACACGGAAGCGTGCTGAATGAAGCATTCAGCTTTTCTGAAAGTAACGTGATTTCATCATGGACACGTTCCCGGTCCTGAACATTCATGGAAGTATAGCTGTAGACGTGAAGAGGACGCCCTCCCATCCATGAGAGCCCTCCTTTGTTCCAAGACTGTAAGTGGTGGTTTCAAACATGAAATTTCAAGTTGTACATGTTCAAATGCACTGCAATTTCTATGCATGTGCGGATGGATGATTGAGCCATGATTGAACCCACTGACCATCTTTCGAGTGATGTCTTTTAGTCGCCAGGCGACTTACCTCGACCACAAAGCAGCTCGACATCAAAGTGGATTCCGAGACGGTTGAACTTTTACTTTTAAGAGATCGTCGACCAGGGCACGCCATCGCGCACAGATGTTCGAACAGTTATGAAAAAGGTAGCAGCTGGTAAAATAGGCGGGACATATAATATGAAAATGGATGGAAGTTGGAGGTCTTCTCATTGAAATGTCGGGACGCGACCCCCCGCGTCCTCTCCCCTCTGTCCCCGTTGGCATCGGACCTCCATCGTCCTCAGGCGGCTCGTTGTCGCGACCCTCCTCGGGGGAGGGGATCGCCGCACGGGAGGGCTACTGAGAAGCGGCGACGCCCGGGCGAGACGGGGCCAAAGGCAGTGGGCGAGACATGGCGAATTCGGAGGCCATGAAGCCATAGTTGTTAATTCCAATAGTGGCTGGAAGGTTTTTATGGAATCTTCAGAGTCACGAAGCCCTGGTAAACCCCGCACCAGTGGTGGACATCATTGGTCAAAGGCCAGCTGCATTTGTCCAGCATTGCTCTCATGTTAGGTAGGTAGGAACGTTTCACTCAGGGGACAAGAGCTTCCATAGGCGATGCTTCCATGAGCCCGACGCGGTCTGGGGGTTGACCGCGGTCAGCAGCGGCGCATAATTATGAGAACCCCCAAAGGACACAAGAAAACCCAAATGATGCAATTGATGAATGATTTGATCTCAAATTCGACATCAACAAGGCCATTTGGAGTCACTAATAGTTCTTAGTCCAATGTTGTAGAACTATATCGTTGTTCACTTTCCTACCTGGCACATTAATCGGTCGCAAGGGCTTTGGGTCATCGGTCGCTGAAGCAACGCATGAGCCTGGCTCTTCGTTGCATTTATTTCAGTCTTAGTCGGTTTGTACAGCGGACGCACAGGACGCACTCGCAAACGGATCCAGCTTGGGCTTTGGCTGCATTGGAAATGTTCATGAACCAGTGATCAACTTGCCCTGAGGTATTTCTTCACCACGAATTCACAGCACGATGGCGCTCGCTTCCCGATGCCATTGATCCACTCGTTTGATGATTTTTTATGACCTTCCAAGCTGCAGATTCTCATCAACCAAGCTCTTGGGATCGGATTCCTTCACTGAAGGCTCTGGGCTACACCCTCCTCTAAACCAGCCCATCCACGCTGGGCGTACGTGCTGCCCTGCCGTGCGTCCACCGGCTGCTGAGAGCTGGGAGACGGAATTCGCGACAAAAAGAAGGACCCAGCTGCGCGGGTTTGGCTCCGCTCGAGGGAGGGTAGATCCTTTTCCAACCACTTCATGTATGGAATATGCCTTCATTGATCTTGCCAAAGCTCCCCAGTGTAGGCATTCATATTCCGGAGTGTTTGGTTGTGTGAAACCCGGGCATCTTTGGGTTGAAACGGTTGAAGCCGTTGGTCAAAACCGGGGGGGCGCGATGGGTCCCGCGTCGTTTCAGTGTATCCTTTCAAGGTAGAAGGGGGGGGTTGGGGTTGAAGTTGGGTTCAGAAGGTGGTTGTTTTGGAAAGAGCGCTGGAAACCGCTCTCACTGGGTGGTATACAAACTGGATCACCAACAACTTGATCAATTCAAGCCTTTCAGTGTGATCATATACACAATTTTAGTGGGCCCTTACAAACGATCATCATCCATTTGGATTGGTGTACTCAGTGGGTCACCTGCAAACTTTCCTTTTGGATGGCTTCCCTGCTGGAGATGTTCACAATCCCAAACAGACAACTTGGACCGAGATCAGCGACCGAAGGCAATCACTCCTCCAGCGACTGATGCTGACCGATGACCGACCCGATGATGCCATATGATGCCCCCCCTTCGCAGGCGCAGTCGGTGGTGGACTCTGGAAAGCTTCTCAGGCGAGTCTGGGTGCAATTTGAGGGCTCGATGATGTTCTTCGGCGGTGCCGTGGTGTTCTTCGAGGGCTCGATGGGAATGGAATGAGGAGATGGGAAGTTTGATGAATGCTGTTGTGTGCATTGTCAATGTGGCACTGAACTTGCTGCTTCGGCAGGATTGCCACAGACTACTGCTGTTACCACTGTGTTCTATAGGTTGTAAGCCTGAGGCCAAGGCGATGGACACGTCAAGCACCCTTCCGCGACTCGTGTCGATATCAAGAGATTTCCTGCCAGCGGAGACCATGTTGCGGGCGAGGGGGATTTGCTGGCATTCCGTTTTGTCAGAGAAAATAGAGTGTTTTAATGTATTTTTGGACCTGAATTTGTTTTGGACACTTGACTTGGTTCTTAGAATCATCATCGTTGCACAGGATTTATAGGGCCACCCTTTCCCTTGCCAGGCCCATCGCTGAGCCACTCAACCGGCTTGAGGGGGAGGAGAGGCGGAGGAGTTCGGGGCAAGAGACAATTTAGGGAAATTCCTGTAACATCCATTCTGGAGTATGCAAACTCAATTCCCCCTCGGGGACCAAAGAAAATTCCCATGTGATCTCCATGTCTATTCTGGAAGCTTAGGTTCTTGCGTAGCTGAGAAAAGACGTGCAAACCCAATTGTGCGATCTGCAGACCCGACATGACCCGGAGCATTCGACATTTGGATGATGACATTACCCAAATTTGGCACTTTTGCCATGTCCACTGATCAGAAATTGAAATCGTTTTTTCATCCTGTTATACCGCATGCTGCGAAGGTGTGTGTGTGTGTGTTTGATTGATTCTGCCAGGGTGTTTGAAAGATTATATATTACTTGAACGGAGGAAGCACTGCATCAAAGTCGTTCAAAATCCCCCGGTGAGCACTGGCAAAGCAGCAGCACGAAGAAGCAGGAACGACGAATGACAATAATTGCACGTGTTGTCGTATACCAGGACCTCCAGGACCCTCCAACAGGTCACCACCTGCGACTTTTAAGTCTCCAAAAGCCACCAGAGGAGACCTGTTGGACCCAGGTACAAATTGTAACATATGAATTCACCGTCATTGTGGACACCAGACCATTCAACTGAGTTGTGAAGTTCTGAAGTCTTCGACCGACGCAGAACACGCCGTATGCTACGGCGGATGCGCTGCGCTCGCCAGGAAGCGCATCAGCTGCTTCAGTCTCTCCGGGTGGGGCGTGTCGGGGGGAGGGGTCAGCAGAGTGGGCGCGGGCGCGGCAGTGCAACTGGAGAGTGGCCTGAGTCTTTTTCAACTGATAATTACCTGAAGACTCAGGGACTCAGGGGTATGATATTTGAAGACTCAGGGGTATGCACTCGCAGGTTACTTCAAGGGTCCCTGGAAGTCTCACTCAGTCACTCAAGGTGGGTCCGGATGTCATGTGTTCTTGGTGATGAGCGGCCAAGTGCAAAGAACAACGACCAGGTGCTGAAAGAACCTTGTTGGCCCATGATTAATAAACTAAAGCGGGGAAATACTGGGCGAACCAGAGCAAGTGTGATCTATATATTTTTAGTCTGGAGGGTGCGAGGTCATTGTGGCCATTCCAGGATTGAAACAGACATTCCATGCAGCCAATTCCTGATTCTCGGGACCTTCAGCTCCTTGTTTTGGCTAACTTTGGCTGCTAATCCTCACGTTTTTTTCAGATTGAATCCCAAGGAGCTGGTGTTAAGTCACCGCGTGGACCCCCCCCAATTCACTTTGGTGCCCAATATAATAAGAAGTAGAAGGACAACCAAGCGCAGAAAAACCCGTGCCAATGAGTTTCCACCCTTCCACACCCGCTACCCCCATGCCTTCGTGGCTTTCGTATGGTCCGGGTGCCCCCCGTGGTGCCCAGTCCTGGTGACCGGGGACCGGACTGGGTCGATGCTGCAGAGGTCCTGGAGCGTCATGCGCAAAGCCTCCAGGAGCTGAGTAAGGCGCGACCGGCGCATCGCCGCGGGGGGGCGGGGAAGAATCGGTTTGCACCGGAAGGAAGGTGGGGTTTCTTGGGTTGGAAGGATGGATTTATAGGTCCAAGTATAGGTCCAGGTTAGGTCCACTTCCCAATCTTCCAAAAATCGGTTGGGGAACAGCAATTTCCAACTTGGGATCGAGCTGTAGGAGCGAGGCCTTTGTGCAGAAGTCTTCGGCGTGTGTCCAGCATGCCCTGCCACGCCATGTTTTGAGAAGGATTTCAAGGTAAAATCCGGATCGCATTTCAATAGAAGATATACATTGTGACTATTTCTTCGGGCAGTGACTGTTGTTGGGGGTGTGAGTCAAAAACCCACACCGCGCCAAGGTGGCTTGCGCAGCGTTTCATCCTATGGTGAGGCCGCTGCTTTGCTGTTAGGGGATGGGTTCCATTTATTTAGCCAACCTTTGGGTCCACTTTTTTTACTTCTGCCATCGCATGCGGCATGCCGCATGCCTATAGTTCAACGGCATTGTTCAAGTTACTCCAACACTGGCCGGATCTGCCAAACTCCTAGACTCTAGACTGGTGGCTATGTTTGGAACTTGGGGATGGGTGAGGGGCACGTCACTTAGTCACTTAGCTTCTTGGCAGCTCTCATTCTCTTGCTTTCATCCTCCAAGTGCACACCGCACTGAGGGGAGATCCGCCAGCTAAGCAAAGCATCTCACCATTTGGTGCTCCATCTCCACTGCTCAAACAGGAGATCTCAATGGGTCCGATCTCAAGCCACCCAGTTTCCTCCGCTCGAGTTAGAAACGGAGGTTGGGCTTCTTCGTGCCCTTGGCGCTTTGTGCCACTGCCCTTCTGGGCCGAGCGCCTGGGCGACAGCTTGCACGCACTGTTTGGCCCACAGGGACTGCAGGTCAGTGCATTGGTGGGTTTGGCCTATAGGGTGTTGTTTACACCAGGCGCAGCAGTCGGTAAGAGATGTGCTCTTGAATTGTTCAAGGTTAAAGGCCTGCAACCTAAGGTTACCAACCACCATCATCCAGCAAGTGCCCTGGTGTTTGTGGGAGTATATGATATACCGTATCACGTTACCGTGCTAGAGATAGGTGCAGAATTTCGCTGGTCAGGGTGAGGGGTCCCAAGATCACACCTTGGAAGCCTCTGAACGTCCCTTTGGGTTCGGCACTTTCTTTAGCCAGGAGAGCTCAGTGGAGAACTTGTCAAGCATCTTCCGAATGATATGTCCAGTCGAGTTGGTTTGCCCGAACCTGTTCGGCCAGGCCGCCTTCCCACCTTCCCCCCGTTGACGCGTGGCCTTTCCAGGTCTACACGCTCTCCGCGGAGATTTGCGATGCAGTGTCATCGGCCAGGGTGCTGACACAGCCTCAGGGGTCCATGCCACGTTCCATACCGCATGACAATCATCACAACATAGGCGATGGAGACGCATTTCTGCAGCTTGCTTGCAAAGATTCCAAAGTTTGATCCTCAATAATAGAAAAGTTTGATCCTCAATAATAGAATATCATAGAATGTCATTTTGCTATGAGGAGTGATGGAAACATCTTCTCCCAGGCCTTTGGTGGACCTAACCTGATCCGTAGCTCAACCATGAAAATCACCCAGGTTGACACCTTCCACACCTTCGGTGATCACAGATTGCCCGCTGGACGGCGAAGCAGGCGGAGCGGAGCAGGATGTATCTGGTGAGATCGAAGACGTTGAAGATCAGTGGATGTCCGACTTCCATTTCTCAACGGTGCAAGGAGATTTCAAGGAGATCGCTGGAGATCCTCATCTCCCGTCCAGTCATCGAGACTCCTTTGCAGCACTTGCAGGTACTCCAGTGCCATCCCAGCCAGCAGAAGGCTTGAGCAGCTTGAGGCTGGATGCCGATGGAGGGAGACGACAGACCACATATCAAGATGCTGTTGTCCATCAAGCTGTTTGTCGTGTATGTTGAGTGCGGTCCTTCGAGAGTTACGAGTAAGTGCCAGTGCCAGTTCAACCAGTAGGATCAACAAGGTTGGGGAAGCACACCCATCAACCCAATGCTCGAGATAGAGTTATGTATAGATCTATGAGAGAGTAGGCCCCAGGTCCAAGTTACAAGTAAATTCATCGACCCAAGCGCTGGTGCACATCGCGGTGGGTACCAGGATCTAGGTCCATCTTGCACCCCATAAAATCCAGTAAATACATCCACAAGGACTTTCCAAGAGGTCTCTATACATAGCCTTTGGTGATTTGGGGTGTCCCAAACCCACCCGCTAGAATATACGTCTTATAGGTCTACTATGTCTTTACTCCCTCGGCATACTGTGCACAAGCCTCCAGAGGTCTCAAGCCGTGCTAGTAGCGCCTATTTGCTGGCACTTGTGCTAAGTACCCCATATATAAGACTTCATCATTCACCTTGTTTTGGCCTTTGATAGTGGACTCCAATCTGTATCCAAAAAGGCGCTGATCAACCCGCTCCGACCCACCTCCTGAGCCTTTGGTCCATCGACAGGAACGACTCGGATGAAGACATGGGGGTGCCGCTGGAGGCGGAGGCGTCCTCGGCACCGAAACACGCGAGAGTCCGGTTGGGGTCGTTGGGGGGAGGTGGTCGCGGCAGCAGGTGGCGACTTGCAGCGACTTGCGCAGCTTGTAAGAAGACTAAGAGTGGTTCGAAGGTGCTTCTTTTTTTGGCCAAGCAAGCGTCAGGTGCCACAGGGTAGCTTCATTTTTAGCAGGGGCAGCGCTTCGGGGACATGTTCATGTCGTTTTCGACGATGTGCCAGGTCACGCGGCCAAGGAAAGGTGTTCCTTTTGACCATTTTAATGGCAGGAAGTGCGTCAAGTTGGGATGTCCTACCAGAATATGGACACTATAAAGGGGGGGTGCCCCTAGAAAGTTCTGATGTTAAACACACTCTGTGTTCAAGTCCACGTTTGTTGCTTCCTCGCCTTCAGACACCCTGATACAGCGCCGCCCACCCTCAGCGCGCTCCCTGCAGCTCCCTGGGGCTCAAAGGTAGCCCGAAAAACCGACGTCCAAGCGCTGCCGCTGCCGCCGCCTCTCCGCCCAGTTCCCCGTCGCGGCCCGGAGCTTGTCGCCGTCGCCCCCGCAGAATCGCGCCCCAGCGACGGCGGCGGGCGGCGACCTTTTTTCCGCACGAAATGCAGGAGAGAGGAATGGGGGAGGAGGGGCCGCTGATGCGGCGGAGGTGCAGCGAAGTGGGGCGAACGGACCACCACCGTTTTGGAGCGGCGAAGCGTGCTGTTGAACGGAGCGGCGAAATGATTTTGCAGTGGGTCACGGCAATGAGACATTTGCGATGAGGTTCTTGTTTTGGTTCATTTTTGTGTTTTCCTTTTTGAATCAGTGGCCACTGCAACAAGATCCATCTCCTTTAATCGTTCTTCCCTGGCTTTTTCGCTCTATGCTCCCCAGCTGTTCTCGCCCCATGCAAAAAAGAAGACATCACCAACCACGCGACGCGGCTGGGGTGTTTGGCCAGCCTGATCAGAAACATCAGAAAAAGAAGGGCAACCGAACACCCCGGCTGAGAGGAGGTGGTGTTGAGCCAACTCCCACGACCGGAGATCTATAGCTTGCCTGCTGCGTCCTTGGTTGCCTTGGGTGCCTTGGCAGCTGCGGCCGGCCGGAGAGGGTGGGGAGATGGTGCACCAGATGAAGAGACCCAGACCATCAGATGGGGTTGGAAGATGGATTTACTATTGACATCTATTGACCCTTAAGATCCCTCAACAGATTGGACAGTCACCCAACACCGCAATGTATAGGCACATGTTCAAAATGTTCCAGTTCCAGATTCTTAGGGAGATGAACCCTCCATCGTTGCTCACACCCGTCACACCCTGCCTAAGGGCGGGGTCACACCAAGGCCTCAAGGCTCACCTCGCTCCAAACCTTCCGAGGTGAGTACAAAGCCACTGCCCCAGCTTTGGTCAGTGAACAGGCCCGGCAGTCAGCGCAGTATGTGCAGGCGCCGCGGGCATGGGGTGAAACATCATTGTTTATAAAGTACATACCCCGGAAGTCAAAGACCATGTGATATAAAGATTGTTGTTTTTTACAGTCCTTATTAGAACCAGGGTCGTTCGCTGGCTATTTAAAAAATATTGTGTTTTGACTTCTAGGCTACAACTATTTACAACAAGGAGTCTAGACCACGATTTTGGATTATTCCTTTGCTTTTCGAAGGCCTGGATTCAACCAACGGGGTAAGGAGTTCAAATTGAAGCTGTCACAGAGATCGTTGTTGTTACAAAAACTTATGTCAATTGATATATAGATTTAGATTTTAATAGTTAGTAGAATTGTTCTCTCTAATGATATATTTCGATCCCTTTCATAAGAGTCATACCCAGGTTTTACCAGACTAGATGACCCTCACCAGTTTGGAACTCTGCACAGGTCTGGTGGGCCTTGTTCGTTTAGTGCCTTGAAGTATATAATATGCATTACTCTTGTCCGCCACCCCCCTCTTAAAAATACAGTAACAACATTGGGCGGCCTGGTTCAACAGACATTCACCGAATTTCCCACATCCCCACTTTGGCCCAGCTCCAAACCCATCAGCCTTTGCTGGAGCTGCGACTCTGTCGCGGCAGGCGGTGGGTCGCCATGGTGTCCAGCGGCGGTTTCAACAGAAGAGAGGTCGAGCCTCAGCCGGAAAAGGTGCGAGAGATGTGGATGGAGAGAGGTTGAGAGATGGCAGATGACCAGGTGGATTTAGGAGGCACAAGACGGGGTGCCGAGCTTGGAAAAAGTCGGGGTGCCCATGATCCACTCACTTACTGACTAAAAAGCGCCCTTTTGTGACTCTTGGTTAGGTGGTCTTTACTGGTGGATCACCATTGTGCCAGTGCCAGTGCCGTCAAATTACTCTGAAAGCGCATTTTTTGGGGAGGCCCCTAGGCAAATTTTGAGGTCAGGGTTACCAGATTCTTGCTGCACCCCTGCAGCATATCCATCTTCCACGGGCTTTTGGTCTTTTACCAAAGATCTTCAATAATACATAATTTGTTGCTCCATGCTTCCCACTCCTCCGGCATTTTTGTGTCGTCGAGCCCCCCCCCGGCCACCTCCGCCTCCCTAAGGCATGTCCATTTTCTTCGATGACGGTGGTCCGAACACCTCCGGTGCCTCTCTGGGCACGACGGGTTGGTGGATCGGCGACGAGGACTGCTTTGGCGAGACGTGCCTCTTGTGGTGCCCAGGCCTCCGCGGGGGGGAGAGCGGCCGGATGCCTAGGGTTGAGGGAGGGAGGTGCCCAGGATGCAACAAGGAGCCACCGGGGTTCTTGAGGATGCGGAAGCCTGGCATTTTTCTGTGTGTTTTTGGAAGAGGCGACAAGGAGATTGGAGGCATGGACTAGACATGCTGAGCTGAAGCACCCTAAAGCCATTGCCTTGGAATGTTTAGACCGTAGATGATTTAGTAGGAATAGATCATGTTTTGATACCTGAGTATGTCAAACACTCTTATAGTGACCATGTGACCATTATTGTCAATCATTGGGCTACTGCGTTCAGACTTGCAGATGGTTTGAGTAAAAGATAATTAGGATGATCTCTTCTTCTAACAGAAGTTGTGGTGCTTGGCCCATTTACACATCTAAGCTACCATGCTGATGCTTCCCTCCCCACCTTCCTCCCTTTTGTGAACGAAGCTGCCCGGAGGCTCCAGCGAACAAATCCCCGAGACGGGATGGCAATGGCAGGGCTACCTGGGTTACTACGAGGTGGATCTTCATGTCTCGCCCAACATGCGCGCGGAGGACGCGGGTCGCGGACGCGGGTCGCCGCGCGGGCCGCGAAGAAGTGCCTTGTGGGCAGTGGTGAAGGGAGAGGTGGGAAAGGTGCTTCGGGGGGTTGAGGAAGGACTACTGAAGGTGAGATGTAGTTGGAGATGGGCTGATGCGAATGGATTGAGAGTCTGGCCAGGTCGCAACACGCTTGTTCGTGATTGGAGTACAAGGCTCAAAAGATCGCCATCAAAGAATCTAATCATGATCTCCTACATTCTCTCCCTGCTTCATAGCTCCCCATCACCAAACTCCCCACCACCCCGGACATCCGCACAAGAAAACCCTGGTGCATCCGCCCAAGCGCATAGGAGATGGAGCCACACAGCTTGATCTTTGCAGGGAACCTCTTCCTAGACGTCCTGGGGCAGAGCATGGTCTGTTGCCTCAAGGGTGCCGAGCTTCTCCTTCACGAGTTCACCGCGAAGATGGCAGTGGACTCTAAGGACGTTCCGTTGAACTCCATAGGAGGCAGGGCGCCCCAGGGCGATCCGTGCGCGGGGGCGCACCTTTCGTTGAGAGGATGGACCCTACTATAGGGATCCACATACCTTCTCAGGAGGTACTTGGGCCCTCCAAGCCTACATAAATAGTCTCCAATCACCTTCTGAGAAGGTACTTGGATCCCTAGGGGGAGTTCATTTATGTTGCCAAAAAAACTACGGTGGATCTTCCTCAGTCTTATGCGCACACAGGTCAAGCACTTGCAGGCAAACCCGCGGCAACGCCTTGATACAGGTGAAGGAGAGAAAATGGAAAACAAAACAAAAAACGTCTGTTGTTGAAAGCGACGTTAAAACAATAGCTGTTGGAACCTCAGGGTCACAAGTTCATGTTCCTTTTGCTACCCAGGCGCCGTTCCTGCAGAGTCTCAACCCGCTCTGGAGCTCTCCGCGCTGCCCCCGCCGGCACCTGCTGCCGCTGCCCCGGCACCGGTGCTCGCGCGGGCGCATGAGCCAGCGCCGGAGGTGGTGGCGATTTTTCCAGCGCCCAGGGAGGACGTCGAGGCGTAATTGGGGCTACCATGAAGGTCCGAATGAGGAGGACATACGCAGTTAAGAGTTATACTTATACCATGTTATACTGCTTTTGTTTAATTTTATTACCTTCCAGAGTTCTAATTCTGGAGTCAGTTTGACTTATTAGTTGGACTGGGTGTGTTGGTCCATGTTGGTCCTTTTTTCTTTTTTCATCCTTAAGCCGGTGAGTACAGAGGGGCCATAGGACCATAGGATGTAGAGAAGCAGGATGACCCCAATATGGATTCCTTGGGGGACACACGTCCTTCATCAGCCCAAGGTTGCCAGTCTCACGGATCAAGGTGCAAGTCTGATAAGCTAGGACTCTATATATATAGTACATCGTTTGGCGCGTGAACTACTGCAACAAATGCATGCATTTACATGAGATCATGTGAAGCATGAGGGCAAACAGGCCTGTTTGCCCTTTGTCACGCAAACATTAGCTTTTGCGGTTGGGAGGCTTAGCTTGTGCGAACCGAGACTGGAAGCTTAGCTTGCTCGTCGACCCGAGACCGAGGGCGGCCGTGGCCAAGAGATGGACATTCCAAGCGTTTTCAGAACTTCACGTGTTTCATGAACAACCGACCCTCCAACATCCTCCAACAAATATGGAAGTGGACAATCCTTTTGTTTTAATAGAGGAACAAGGGTCCTTCCAGGGACCATGCCATGCCCTTCCATGACTCTTGGAGGGAGGGTAATGAGTATTGCGAATGCCAAGTTTGAGGTGGCCATTTCGTCTTGAGGTGAGGACATGTCTAGAATAATTCGTCACTGATCAATTGCTTGGGACTTTGTGCCTTATGACATTCATCTCTGACCTATATTTTGTCCCTGTGTAAACGGTCCCGTGTTCACTCACCCAAGTTGATCTAGCACAAAAGGGGTTGGTGAGGTCAAAGTCAGCCCCTAGGTGAAAGAGTTGGCGCGCCTCTTAGCACTTTCACACTTGAGCAATGGTGACGCAGGTCAAAGTGGAAGAAAGGGAGGAGCACCAGATAGAGGAGGCACAGGACAACTTTTTCTTTTTTCCTTGCCTCTTCTCAGATTGGAAAGTGGTGGCCTTGGTATTGGTCTAGCTAGTCTAGCAGCTGCAAGCTGTAGGAGTTTTATGTTCATTTGAACCAGCCAACTCAACTAAAGATGCACCTTTACGGTGTGGACTGACTGAGATTCTCACCTTTCGTCTTGTGTAGGTGTCACTGGAAGAGTTGACCGAGGAAGCTCGGCGCGCCAAGGATAACTTTGTCGAAAGCTTTAAGGCGCGGGGACGCAACAACTTCGGAGTTGGCCTTGGAAGATTTTGACGCTTTAGGCGCAGAAGTCAAGCAGTATAGTATAGTAGAATAGTATAAAGTATAGACCATCTTCCTGAAAAGAGTCAGTCGATTTGTCCCCGTTTCTGGCCACATCTACCCTTGCTCAACTGATAGTCTAGTATTGTTCACTGAAGTCAATCCCTTGAGTTCTGTGAGTCAATCGAAGGTGGTGCTGCTGCACTGACTCCCTGATTCTCAGGCGCACCTCTCCCGGTTTTCACCCGAAGAAGAAGCGCAGAATGAGGCAGCAGCTCAGGTTCAACTTCGGACCAAAAGACTGGGCGGGTGGATGAGGGAGTCCCTGCCAGAATTATCCAGAATTGGTATGGTCGTGGGACGGAAGTCTACCCAGATAGACCCCGAGCAGAAGAAGAAGAAGATCCTCTTCTTTAAAAGAAGCTCTCTTCGACTTCCTGGAATGTTTTCAGCTGATACTTTTGCTAACTTGTTGGTCCTTTGAAGCGGGTTCACCTCGTTGAACTCACCGACATTGAGTGGTAGATCCTGCTCACCTACAGTATGTGATCTGAGTAGTTTCACTGATACGTTAGGGGCCAGGTCCACATGTCTACCCGGTAGTCACCTGAACCATTTGGAGGAACATGAAAATGACTAGATGATTAGATTAATGGTTGTGTGCTATGGCTCACAGAGACGGCATGTGAAACGCAAATTCCTAAGGATTTGGCTAAGGAGCATTTCTTGGAGGCCTTTTGCAAGAAGGGTGCCCCACAGGAGCTCAGATCACCTCGCGTGCGTCGCGTGCGTCGTGTGTCGCGTGGTGGAGAAGAGGGTTCAGCCCAAAGAGCTGCCCTACAGAACTTGACTCCTAGCTGCCAGCCTGCTTCTTGTAGGGTAGAAGCTTCCACCCAAGCACCACCCGGTCCGGGTGGTCATTGGAGGCAAAAAGGCCTTTGACAAGGGGGGGTCTATACATTAAAAACTGGGGGTGTAGGATGGTCAACCTATTCCAAGGTAGTCTTGGTGAGCCTCCCCAACTTGCAGTGGTCTTGGGAGCATGCAAGGCAGCAAGCACGAGGACCTGTCAGGTGACCTGGGTGGGTCCTCTTGAGATCCTTTACTCCGCCAGGAGCAGCTGAAGCGCCGGCAGGTGGCGGAGGAGGTGCTGCAGCGTCAGGAGCTCCAGGAGCTCTTGATGTCGCAGCATCGGCACAAGGCAGGCCATGGCTGGGACTGCCGCGTTTGGAAGGGTTGAGGTGAACCAAGTGGGAATGAGTCAGGATGAGTTCATTTTCTGCCAGCTTCCAAGTTCCATTGACTTGGGGCCCATCTTTCCTTTGCCTTGTGCTCATTTAATGTAAATGAATAGGTTCTTTCTTTCTTTTTAGACATTAATATAGGTCCTACTATAGGTCTTATAGGTCCAGTCAGATGAGATCCTCCCGCCGGCTCTCGGGTCGCCTTGTTCGCTCTGTCGGAGCAGGTGAGCCACGAGCTCCGTGGAGAACGGGAGATCCAGGAAGCGCGGATGGATCAGGTCTTGGAACAGGCAACCCGGGGGGGGGGGGGCAGCGAGAGGGTGCCGAGTGGGGAGAGAGCGGGGCGAGGCCTAGGGGAGAACAACGATTTTTAGAAGCGAGGTGAAAGGCTTTTGTTTGGAAGCAAGGTGTTTTGTTGACATGAGGATGGTGGGCATTGGCGTTGTTTTTTATTTGGTGGTGTTGCTTTTTTGGCTGAGGGGTGATGTACACTTTCTGGGGAATGTTTTGTATTTTGTCTCGGTTCCTTGAGCAAATCCAAGGTGGCCATAAATCCATTCCAGCATTCCAGAATCCTTTGGACTGTGGGATGTTCATCAGCTCATTGCTTGTTATGTCCAGCTTTCTGGTGGTGGGTAATTGATGCTGGAAGACACGCTGCGCACCGCCCCTCCCAGAGAGCAGGAGGATTTAAGTTTTTATCCCGTTGTGTTGGGTTGATTCTTTCTCCCTAGAATCTGCTCTCAGGTGCGCGCATTGCAGATGGATTTGCGAGAAGCCTTGGATGCGAGACAGGCCACAGAATTGGAACCTTGGCGAGACAGGGCAACACGTGACATTCTTTTTACAATGGTATGTTGATTAAAGATTGGAACTCATGAACTCATTACAACTAACTATATCATATCATTAACTCAAATGTCATAATACATCTAACTGACTGACCAACCTAGTCTTTCTTTGAGGGATCAGGACCTTTCCACTAGGACCAAACACGTCGAAAAGGGGGTCAACACCTGTTTGGTCGTAGGGAGCCAGTCAGTCCCAGTGGTCGCCATGCCGGACGTCCTGGATCCTCAAAGCGCTGGAAACCCATGGATCCTCTTTCCGGTGCTGCGAACTGGTCATCCATGTGAAAAAGAGCTTAGTTGAAATCAGTATTGCAAGATATTGCAAGGAGACAATTCCTGGATGATCGATCCACCCAAAAAAAGACCTCAAGGATCCCAACAAAGGCACCCGTGGCGCCACTTCGACACTCTGAGGAGAAGTTGGATTTGATGGAGTCTCATCGACTTCATTTGGAGGACCGAAGACGCAGTGGTGGTTGGTAAAGCTTGTTTACTCTGCGGATTTTGTGTGGGGTTCGGCGGGTTTTGTATTTTCGGATTTTTTTTCGGATAGTTATACGGGAATGTTTTGTGTTATCCTATGTTATCCTGAAATCATGTGTATTGTTATCATCGGAGACGGTCGTGTCAGGGAGATAGTGTTTTTTGTGCACTATACTACTTTCCGGAGTACCTACCGGCTATATCAATCATATTTAAAAAGATTGAAAACAGAGAGACCAAATCTATTGGCAAGGTTTCAGATCCAGACATCATCAAAACCATGTTCAATCTCTCAAATCTGAAATTCTGGAGCCGGACAGCTGCCCATCTAGTAGAACAGGTTGTCCCAGGCGTGGTTTATAAGGATGTTTCAGGTAAATGGACATCGATCAATAGCCCATAGCTTTCGGGGGGGGGTGACAACCACCGGGTCTCCTCCCTCCTGGAGGTTGGCCACTTCTGGGTTCCACTCCTCCTCCACTCCACCTCCACTCGCTTGGAGGAGCTCAGGCAGGTGAACCTGGAGGGCGGCGAGGCGAGGGGGGGCCCAGCTGGTGAAGCGCAGAGAGGGGCCCAGCTAGGCCACAGTTTGTTGGCACCGTTTGTTGGCAGACTTAGGGAATGTGCTGTGCTTAGGGAACTTGTTGCTATTTTACATCTTGGGGCCGAGAAGTTGGGGTGGAGTTCAGTCAATGAGTGGGCGAGTTGATGGATGCTGTAATATATGGCCAGAGATGTTTGGGTTCGGGGCATGGCGATCTTCTTCGAAGCCGACGGTACAGGGTGAATCCCTCGATGGTATACAGGACCTCCAGAGCAAGTGCGCAGAGTTGGAGGCGGAGAATGCGGAATGCGACTTGGACAGCAGCGAAGTGCCCACAGGAATTGGTAAGTACTCCGACTCACTCACACATGGGAGTGAATGGCATGGCCTGGGGCACACAGGTAAGTTTACTTTAGGATAGACAAGTTCCAGGAAGTCAGAGCTTTTAAAGGTACACAAGTGGGCTTCAAGAAATTCCAGCTGCCGAGCTCCTGTCGGCAGCGTGTAGGAACCTCGTGCCAGGCAAAGTGAAGCTGTCCCAAGCAGCTACTGCCCTTTGGAGTCACGAGGCGTCAAACGGCAGAACCACTGAAGTTAGATGGAGGTACGATATGAAGCCTGGGCGTCCTACATTCATAGATAGGCCAATAATCTCTAATTTAGCTTATCAAGTTCTGTTCATTCCGAGCGTGTTATTGCTATGGGCTATAGACATCACTGTGCGCGACAAGCTCACTATTCAGATACTCAAATACTCATTCCAAGCACTACTGCTTCGATTCAAACAAAAAGCAGGACGTCATGCGTTTAATGAAGCGAACACCACAGATCGCCGCCTCTCTCGCGCGCACGGAGCATGCGCCGTGCGCGCGAGGCGGCTTTGCAAGAAGCGTTGCAAGATGCCTCTACGCTCAGATCCTTGGAGCTGGTCATATGGTCAGTGCAACAAAAAATACCTAAAGATCCACTGCCACAATTCGAGAGGATGTAACAGGGGATTTGAGGTGGGTGGGTGTAGAAGGTGTGTGTGTATGTGCGTGTCAGTGTGTGTTGATGTTTCTCGGGTGGTGTGTTTGATGCATAGGGCAAACTTGCCAGAACCACCAGACTCAGACGATCCTGGACGGTTGCAGACTGCCATGTCTGGCACAAGGATCGGAGCTGCTGAACACCAGCGCCGCGGAGGAGGAGATCGCGCTGCTGCGCGAGGAGCTGGCGCAGCTTCGGAGCAACGTTCCTGGGATTGAAAGGAGAAAGAGAGGAGCGAAGGTCAAAGTGACAGGGCTGGGAGAAGGCACTTGGTCAGAGAAGTTCTATGGACGCAGTCGTCGATCTGACTTTCCCGCCTTGAACCGCTTATGCCTATATAATTTGTGTGTGGCAGCAAAAGAATGCAGTGATGGCACTTTTTGTGTAGCAGGTTGTGACTTCTAGAAAGGGGCCAGCTCATATGTGGTGATGTGACATGGACCTGCTCCACCGAGGAAAGCACGGCTGAAGCATCGACCGCCGAAGCAGAACAGCCCCATGGCATCCCCGGTTGGTAAATGGTCATGCAAGTGGCCAGTTTTCGCATGCTAGGGAGGGTAGGTGATTCTGAGTTTGTGTTTATTCTCGCCGAGCTTTGACCAGGGTGATTTGAGGAAACCAATGCGACAGACTGCACCAGACTGTGGGACAAAAAAAGACAACGGTGAACCTGCGTCTTTGTCTCAATCCAGCCATATGCCCGAGGACACAGTAACAATTCTTTGTTGTCGAAGATGCAAAAGGACATGTACTCCGGAGCTCCACTTAACCCCAAATCAATCTATCAAACCATCATCAATCCCAACCCGGCAAGTTCCCCTGATATTATTATTCTTAAAGTGTTAAACCTGCCCCTTCTTAAGTCCCCGCTTCGTTTGACCCACCAAATCTTGAGGCAAATGCAGACCTTGGCGGAGGAATACCAGCACGCGCTGGCGGACATCGGCTCCCTTCGGGCCATCTACGATTCGGAGATCGAGCAGCTGCAGTTGGAGCTCCAGCAGTGCCGAGAAACGCACGAGCAGGACGGACACGGGGGATCCCCTCGGTGGAGTGCGGTTTGGGTATGTTTGGGTAGAATCCGGGTTGAAGACGGTAGAAGAATCAGATGTTCAACACATTGTATTTGCATGGTGGTGCCTCCGCAAAAAGGACAAACAAGAACAACTTTGTAAAAGCATGAATACAGTGAATGATCTTATAAAACATTCCTCCAAAGGCAATGGTAGCACCATCCAAATTATTTGTTTGGACTTTCGACTAGACCAATTGCAAATTAAATGTTAGATTCAACGACCCCAATGATTGTCATGAACATGCCAATCTTTTGATCCATGTTTCTCCTGGGTGCTTGCAGTGAGTCTTGGAGGACGTCGCATCCCTGCAAGATGAGCTGCAGATTGCCAGAGATCAGCAAGAATCTGCGGGGAGCCTCAACCAGTCGCCACAGTCGCTTCGACCAGTCGAAGTCACCTGGGCGGCAACGGCCAAACCCTGGCTTGGTGTTGCAAGGACTCAGGTTTTGAAACCAATGGGTATGAGTCCAAGAGGCCAAGGGGCTCCCAGTTCCTCAGGGACCTTTAGGGGGACAAGATAGTCCAAGATCTACTGGAGTCCAGGTCTACAGCTTGCGTCGTCAGCTGTTTTCATCGAATCACCTGCTCTCCTCCACTCCTACACCCAGCCTTCCTGAAGCGAGGGCCAAGTGCCCTACCTACCTCCCAAATCCCTGACCCAATGCTCCAGCGCCACGGGCCCGAGGCTAAGAAGGCTCAGAGCTTGCAGGATGTGCTGTCAAAGCGGGTGGTTCAACTGGAGGCTAAGCTCTCGCAGCAGACTTTGGAGCACGAGGCCATGGTGGAGGCGCTCTGGGGCACTGAGAGGCACAGGGGATCGAGGCGAAGGTCACTGAGACGGGACACTGGCAGATCGTGCAATGAGATGCAGCTGGTTGCGGTTGGTTTCTTTCAGGTAGTAGTCTTCACTCCTTAAAGTGGGCACCGGAGTGCGAAATGTATCGAACTGTCCCCGCGCAGTCGCACGCCCGGATTGGTCGTGTTGGGGGTGTTGCAGGAGTTGGAGAAGCTGCGGCCTCAAGCAGCTGCCACCGCCGCAGCAGAGGAGCGCGCAAGCTCAGCAGAGGAGACCATTGGGTGGGGAGGGTGGGTGGGGTTGCGGTGGAGAAAACACTTATGGACGAACGAGGGGGGCTTCTCGATATACCCTTTTTGCTTCTCATGCAAATTGGCACCAAGATTCATTTGATTGAGCGCACGGGACAAAAGCATTGATGTGAAGAGTCTTTGGCAGGGTTGCTTAGGATCAGTCAATTGTGTTTGAAGATGTTTTAAGTCATGTGCACAATATTCTTGCGATGAGACTTGGATGTCCTATGCCACTAGGCTTTATATCAGGATTATCAGGTCTCACGGTACAAGGCCTGTGCAAGAGTAGCAGGATCCACTTGACAGCAGATTGCTTTAGACATTATCGTTCTCGCGGCTTGCGAATGGTTCCAGTACTATGTCCAAGATCAACCAGCTTTGGTTTCTTAGTGCAACCATCATACCTTTTTGTGATCCTAACGTATAAGGCCAGCCCTTCTTAAAAGCTGCTGCCCAGCTTCATGTGGCACGGATGCTGTTCGGAAACGGGATCTTATGCATCCGCACATTTGCAACTGGCAATAGCCTTCACAGGCTCCGTGCTCAAGGCTTGTGCTCCGCCACCTTTCGTGTGCAGAGCTGGCAACGACGCCAAACACGTTTGGGGCATCTCTTGAGACGCATCAAATGCCCGCGGGTGCACTCGTTTGAAGTGAATGGCAGAAGCTACCAGCTGCCGGTGAGCGCATGCGTGCCGACTGGCCAGCCATCTGAGTCCGAGCTTGATTACCTCCGAGGATTTTTTGATGGGGATGGCTGCGTGAGCCTGAACGCCGCATCCGGCAAGTGTTGCCTCACGGTTGGCCAAGCCATCAATCGGGGTAGTATTTTGATTCGGTTTCGACAGGCCTTGGGTGGAGGCATTTACCTGTGCCACAATGCATGTGGTTTCAGACGTGCGTACCTGATGTGGAAAGTGGGTGGACGCTCAGCACAGGAGGCCGCCAAGTTGCTTGGCAGCCTGCCGTCCATGAAGCAACAACAGCTTCGTATTGCCATGCAAGACACTGCTGACCGGGGCAATGTCGCGGATCAACTCAAGGCACTAAAAATACTAAATCAGCACGATCACACGCCCGATTACATTTCGTTCTCCTGGGAGTACATCGCGGGATTTTTTTGATGCTGAAGGTTGTATAAGCGTCACGGCAAGGCGTCCCAGTGTTGCCCTTGCTTTTTTCACAGGTAAACCCTTTCATTTTAAGAGGTGTCCAATCATTCTTCAAATCAAAAGCTTTGGGCGGATGGAGCCTTCACCAGAGGTCTAGGGGTGAGTGGTCCTTGGAATGTTCTCGGGCCAATGAAGTAAAGACGACTCTGCAGCATTTTCTGGCACATGGGCTAACATTGAAGAGGACGCAAGCTGAGCTCAGCATGAGCCTGACAACGCAGAATCACAACCAAGTTAGAGAAGCTGTGTCGGAGCTGAATGGATACCAGGCATTCTACAGGAGGCTTGATGAAGCTGGCATTGCACGTGCCAAGGAGATAGCAAAAGTACAGCGTCTAATAAGAGCGAAGCGCTTAGCCGTGCAATCGGATCAGAGAGGTCTGGAGGCATTGGAATTGGAGCTCTACCGGCTTCGAGACGAACATGCCTATCAGAAACTGGTGTCACGATGCTCGAAACTGCGATCTCATATCCGGAGACTTCTGAGAGAAGGCGCCACCATCGCACCCTTGGCGTAAGGCTTTTTGCCCGAGACTTTGAAGGAATGTGCCGACGTTGGTGCTATCCACATATTCACACGATGCAGCTTTTGGAATCTACCGGGTTGATCAGCACAATCTAGCTGCAGGGTTGTGCTTCCTGCATGTGGGCTATGATCCTGGGGCCTGGCCAACTTTAGTTGCTTGCTTTGTGAACTTAATATCTTATGTATTTGGACAACACATGTTTGCCTGATTCGACTATGTTGGACATGGCACTGCGCAGTGGCATACTCGTTTGCAGCACTGACAGGTTTGCTAATACCACTGCTTGGAGATCATGCAAGTCATGCTGCATCTAGCTTGGGAGCCTTGAGAGGCAAGCCACAAAAGGGGCGCTCATGCTGCTGCACAGGCATCAACTTGCTCATCATGGTCTCTCAAGCGCTTCGTAAGTCTAGGGAATCACCAATCCCTAAGTCTAGTTTTTGTACGGATGCAATAGAACCCATATGAACCCATCCCTTATTGAACCATTGGGGTTTGTGCCGAGAAGTTCAAAGCCGACTGACGGCATCACCACGAGCATTGCCAGTTTGGGTGAGAGTTTAGCCACTCCACCTGTGTTTGCAGGGTCTCAGCCCTCATCGCATTCGCACCTCAGGCCTGTTCAGTATCAATCACCGATAGTGATTTTGCTCCTGGAGGTTCGCGCGGTGACGCTCTCTGGACTAAGTCATTTAACATCATTATTCAACTTTGGGGGTCCTCTCGGTATTGAGGCTCCTCATGAGCCAGGAGCCCAAAAAGACTATGTGCCAGTTCACCCATTTCACAAGCTCAAAACCGGGTCCAACAGTCCAACCACTTGATTCAGCCAGCATGTTGTACAAACACGCTAATGGTTCACTTGGTGTCACGTCAGTCACAGCGATTTCCTTTGTTCAGTCATAGATCCAGTTCACCCTGCAATCTCCATGAGTTGCTTCTATTCATGACTTCTGGTGAACTGGACCTGACTTCTATTTGACACTTTTGCCTGACTATTCTATTCAGTCATCCATAGATCCAGTCCACCCACGTCAGGGGACCTGACCTGACTTCTGATGCCTTTCGCTCGCTGTTCCAGGAGGTCCTGGCGACCACGGCCCGGAACTTCCAGGCGGCAGAGGCTCGGCAGCTGCAGGCGGAGGCCAGCACGGTGGCAGTGGTGGCTGTGGTGGGGGACGGGTGTTTGCTGATGGAAAAGCCTGTGGTTCTGTTGGTTTCTGATGTTTTATGTGGTGAACGCGGCCCTTCTGAATGCCGAAAGCAGATATGTGTCTTCTTTTGACGATGCGTTTTTGGTTTGTTGCTTGTGGGATTTCAGCAGCCCTGGCATGATATGAATGATCACCACCCATTGGCTTGTCAGTGTCCTCCAGACCAGACTCGCCAGGAGATGGTGCGAACCTTGAAGCTCCGGTGCCAGAGTTTGGAGGCACAGGTGCAGAAGAGGCACCGGTTGACTTGGGACGTGTTGGATAGACGGAGTCTTGGACTTTGATCCGTCACCGAACGGTCTAAAAAGGCAACAGATGTTTCGTATTGATCAGTTTGCATCGCTTTTGTCTTCTGGTCCAACCCATTCTATAGGTGATCCATGGTGATCCTGTTGGAATAGTGGACAGTGGGGGGTTTCTGCAGCTTGAGAACAGTTTCCTCACGGACCACCTGTTTGGAAGAGACGCCATTGGCCCTGCAGGGCGGAGAATCCGAACGTGCCGAGATCTGACCACGCGATCGCGTCAGCGGCCCAGATGGGGTTGAAGGGAAGCTGTTGGGCAATAGCACCGATGATGTGGCACTGTAGGGCCAGCAGCTACAAGAAATTGCATTAGAGTAACTTACATGTTAAGACCTGTTTTCATCACATGTTCAATTTTGCCTCCGTTGTCCTGTGGCAGCATAGCCGTGCTGAGGATCAAAGCGACAAAGCCAGTGGCGAGGCCGAGGGATCAGGGCTGTGAATCACTGAGACAAGCGGCAGCGCGTCCCTTTTTTTGAGGAGATCGTATGCATATCCAGTAAGTACAGATGCGCCACATGCCAGGGCTTGCAGGAAGAGGTGTGATGTGGTGCCAGGTCTGATCAACCACAGTTTAGCGCGTTTGGTCCTCAGATGATGCGGCAGAATTTGCGAGCATTCATCCTCATACAGCAACGCATCAATGAGCTCACAAAACAGCCCAGTGCATGGCTGATTACCCCAGTGCGTAACTTGTCAGTTTGATCTTGTCCCTTTTGCACTCACTGTGTGTCCAATGGCCTTCTTTTTCCACAGATGTCACCTAGGCTACCAGGCAGGAGGCCTTTGGCCAGGCACGTCGCGCGCCAAAATCATCGGTTCCTTTTATCAATCTATTGCTTTGCATCACCAGCAGGTGGCAGTCAAGAAAGAGTGACAATGGTACGCACTCTATGAATATCACTAATTAACCCGGTTCTTCCGAGTGACCTTTTGATCCCCTGGTTTGAGATCACTTAGGCTTGCAATAGGTCACTTAGGGACTCCAAAAGGGTCACTAAGGTCACTTGGAAGAAGCTGGACATGATATCATTGTTTTCTTGGTTGAGTTCTTGGTTATTGGTTACTAACATTTACTATCTATTTAGACCATTTAGATCACTCTTTTGTTGGTTGATGAGTTCTTGGTGCCATCCGTCCACTTCTCTTCACCGATCACCCGGACGTCCGTTCCGATCACCCGCGTCCGACGCGAGGGTGGAAGGACCGTTGGTGGCGATGGCCTCTGCGTGTGGACGCCTGGGATGTGCCGGATGGAGGGCGAGTCGAATCTGATGCCGGATGGAGGGCTTTGGAGAACGGAAGGTGATGGAATAAGAATTATATACTGTACGTGTGAAAGTGGCTTAACCTATTCTTTAGCGTTTCTGGACGTAAGATCACGATGATAATGAGACTGGCGCTGAGACTGGTTACTACAGCCAGAGGGGTCAGGTTGTTCGTCCGACGGATTCTGTTAAAGTCTTGGTTTGATTTGGCTTGCTTCTCGATGTAGCAGCGTTGAATTGAGGAGCAGCATGATTTGGGGTCTGAGTGAAGACTGGCTGCATTGCTTCCCAACCATTCCGTTCAATGAATCCTCCTTGTTTGATTGTGCTTTCTGTGTTTTTTTCTTCGACACTTGTCATTTGTTTCTATTGATTCTTGTCCCGGATAAGTCGGCAGATGCAAAGGGTCCCTGCACTTCCTGTTTGTCAAACGTGGAAGCAGATCACAAGTGGTGACTCCAACATATAGTGTAGCTGTAGCTATACTCCACCTCCCACCACAAACATCATTCATTCATGTAACAACAATATGTATATATAAAACCTTAAGGGAGCCCCCCTCCACTCAAATTAGGCATCACTCACTCAGTCAACCGCCGTCTCTCCGTTCTTCATCGCCCTTGAGGCTGTCGCCCACGGCGCCCAATACACCACTGCTGGAGACGCGCAAGGTCTTAGCCCAGCGACCGCAAGCCTAAGCGGCTGTGCGGCCTCTGCTGAGCGGCTGAGCCAATGTGCGGATGACCATGTTTGGTTGTGACCAGGGCACACCCGCGTGGTGATGGGGAAAGACATTTTAGTGAGAGAACGTGAGGCCGGTGAGTGTGGGGGGGGAACAAAAGAGGATTTTGGATGTTCCAAGAGAATATTTGATCTTTCCAAGCTTTGAGGTGCCACAAAAAAGGCCACAAAATCACTAGGCCACAAGAAGTTGCTCCACTCATGATGGGGAAGTTGTTCCTTCGATTGTATCGACTCCCTTTTGATTCCGCCCCCGCCGATGGGACCGCCTCGTGGTTCGTCTTCGAAGCTCCACACGCGCCGGGTGGGCCAGATGGGCGTTTGGCTGGCTTGGGACGCTCTTATAGGGACAAAATATAGAGCCCAGACAGAGGTTGATTGGAGCTGTTATGAGAAGGATCCAAATAAAGGGGTCAAGAAGTGGATCCGTGACAAGTTGGAGATCTTGGCAGGGAGACTGGCGGTTGGTGTGTGAACTTTCGATCGAATATTGAAGCTAGCTTATCTCAACACCGTTCAGGATGAGGTGGCATGTCTCAGGTGTGGTTTCTTCAGTCGTGGAGGGTGGCTCCTCGTGTTTCCGGAGGGGTTTACCATGATGCGTGAATTCCCTGTGGAGAGAATGGTTAAGACTTCCAAGATCTTGGTTGAAACGTGTTCTTTTGGATGGCATCTTGAAACATGATCTGTTTGGGAGCCTCAATGCACCAAACCAAAACCAACAAGATTAACATGGAGGTGGAAGTGCACATGGAAGTGGCACTGGCAGAGGCTCCTTTTTCGTGTATATAGCTTGTGATAATCTTGTGATCTTCAACATTTCCTTACGTCGTTTAAGTTTCTAACTATAGTTCATTTTGATTATTAAATTGTCAATATTGCAGCAATGTTCTATGTGCAATGGCTCGCCAATCCGTACGTTGCACATGTAGAAGAAAGTAACCTTCCAAGGACTCAAGTGTCTATACATATACATAAATATGTCCATGTTTGCTTTCAAGGGATCTACACTGTAACTCATTCAAACAGAAACCATAGAATGGAAGCGGTTTTTACTACCACCTCATTGAACAACAAAATACATGGACCCTTCAGGCCGTGCCATCCACTTCCATCTTCTGTTGGAAGTGAACAAAATGCTTTAAGAGAGAGAGTTGTGAGATTGGTTTTGCGCCCCCCAGCTGGACGCCGGTTTAGTGCAGCCCGATCCAACCAACGGGCAAGATACCGCTGCGTTGCACACGTCTGACGACAAGCTGGGCAACCAGCAGTGGGCCACTTGCACGCGTGTGTGAGAATGAACATTGACCTGTTCCGATGTCGGTTAAGACCACTATATAGCTGGCACCACGGGAGTTGAGTTCAATGCCACAAGTAGCCCAAGCGTATCCTCAAACCTATATAGGGCCAGGTGATGTCAAGCAAGTGGAGTCAGCCTCTTTTGATGCATGTAGTCTCAACATGGGAGCCCCTGCATGGCATGGGCGTGCTTTAGAAGCATTTAGGAGAACTGAATTGGACTTTTTCGAGTCCAGCACGGGACATCGGACAAAACTGTGACCTCATGTGACCTCAATACCTTGAACAAGATCAAGAAGGATCTAAAAAAGAATGAGTTAAATGGAATTCTTAGAGCTATGGCACACTTGAAGAGCATGCGTACAAGTTGCCTCACCTTTGCTTTGACATCTAGTTGCTGCTGGTCGACACAGTGGACCAAAAATGAGCCGCACATGTGCGCATGTCGCGAACATCCAGGTGGTTCGTCAGGCAGTGGCAGAGTGGGGCACTTGTGAAATTTCGAAGATGAGGTCGGTGAAGCACTCTGTCGCGAGGTTTGCTGAGAAATTGCTTTTGCTTCTCAAAAGCTGGTTCACCATCACCTGCGGACACCAGATGAGATGGCCAACGTGCGGTTCGCCCGTGCCAGGCGCTGCCATTCGTGGTGGATGTCGGGAAGGAAAGACCGGAAGAGGACGCTTTGGGAGGGCTGAGGGGCTTTCAGTTAGCCAGCATATTTTATTCGAAGTGGTCTTTGTAGCCGTGCATCGCTGGAAGTGAATCCCTCTCATGCTGGATTCCAAACATAAACAATGGGCATCGTGCATTGTCCTCGAGCTTGCAAGGAAAGCTTGCTTTCGAACCTCGAAGCATAACTTGAATGGGTTGGTCTCTCAATCCGTTGGAATCCAAGAGCTGCTTGGTGTTGGTGGGTTTTTGTTATTTTTTTGGGTCTAGCATCCTGGAGGCTGCTTCAAATAGGCTGATACCAGTGACAATAGTGACAGGAGTTCCAAAAAACAATCATCCATGTCAACCCAATCATCCATCCTCCAGGCTCGGCGCAACTCGTCAGCCCTCCTCCGTTCTCAACTCCCCCTGTCGCGAACGTCGCCGCTTTGTCAGGACGCAACGAAGCTCCCGGCCTTGGAGATGACGCACAGTGAAGGGGAACCAATGGAGGTCTCGTCCAGAGAGGGAAGGGGAGAAGAGGGGACGTGTTAGGATGAAGTGTTGCACCGCTTTAAACACAGGGGCCGCTGTGGTTTACGTAATGGTTCTGGTTTTGTGTGTTGATCTTTGTTTTTAGTTGTGCTTCTTTGGAATACAGTAATTGTTTGTTGTGAGGGTGTGTGTTTGGGGATCCATCGTTGTTGTGTCATACTGGATTATGGTTGCTCTAGTTCCGTGCAGCAATGACCACGTACTCGTGGAGGATGTCTCTGGGAGTGTGAGGTCATACTGTCCTCGGCATGTGCCCAAATCCCACTTCCGGTTGTTTGGCAACAGTAGAGTAAATGTAGTAAATGTAGATCAGTTCGCAGTGTACAAATCAATTTGGCTGACAGTTGCTACACGTCGCTCTTCTTCGCTTATTGGTGCACAATTGGGTTCCAAAGAGAGGACACAAAACATCACAAAACAGTTTCCCTGGACATGGTTGAAACGAATGATGTGCCAGGCTTCCCTCGAGGAGATGCCTGTCAAGCTGCCAGCGTGGATCTCAGGACCTGGTTGTGCGTCGGCACCAGGGTTGGAAGCCACCGGTGAAGCTGAGGACCGGTGAAGCTGCGGATTTCTTGGACCTGTCAAACGGTAGTATTTGCAATCGGTTTTCGAGGGATCTGTTGGATTGGTACGTGAACCTTGTGCATGCCCAATGCCCAACAGCTCCAACCAAGAAAAGAAAACTCATTTATCTTGAGAGACGTTCTTGACTCCGTACGGTTTTGTTTATACAGCAGGATACCTCTCTTTATTGACCATGAAAGTTGACCGGACCTTGAAGTCATCATCATGGTGAACTAACAGGGCTCCGGGATCACGCACAAACTCCGCTTCAAAAAAAACGAAGCAAATCTAAACTGCTTCAACACATATCCCGAAGCACATATCCGCTTCAACAAACTCCGCTTCAAACTGCTTCACCGATCCGATGGCGGGATTGGTCGCTCAGGCAGAGCTTCCACATCGAAGGCCACGTGAAAACGTGCAGGGGGAGTGGAAAACGTCACCTTGTTGAAGCACCGAACCGGGAACCGGGAAGACGCCCATAGTCCAAAGTGAGAAATCAATGAATTATACAAACATGGTTGTTCTCGTTGTAGGGTTTGTTGATGGGTTTTCGATGTTGATTTGAGTGAAGAAGGGCCGATTGCCTGCTTGGGTGAAGTATGAGGTAAGAACTTAGTCAGTCTTATGCCATGTTGGTTGCGCCGAACAGATTGTGAACACTGAACACCCAGCCTTTTCCACCCATTTTTTTGAGCTGACCACATCACATAGAGGATCAATCAAAATCTATACAGAAACCACTTCAACTTACAACACTGCATCTTCAGAACTAGGAAAATATGGAAACATCGCACGTTATACTATATAATAGGATCCACCCAAAGAAAGTATTTGTTCTTTTTGTTTGCCTCTTCTAGACTGCTTCAACTCATGGATGCACCTAGACTCTAGACCCAGGGACCTCCTGCCTCTAGGCATCGTCCGAGCAGCTTCCCACGTTTGTGGAATCCATCCAGAAGACCTCAGGCAGGACCTTCCCACGCAGCGTGCATCTGGTGGTTCCCAAGAAGAAGACGGCACCCCTTGGGTTCTGATGCGTCATCCCATGGGTTCCCAACGCATCCATAGGTGCACAGGTGCAGGCTATTTGTTAATTGGAGGTCTTTGGAATGATCGCGGTTTGCAATCCCTGCAGACTTTGCTGGTTTTCCATCTCTGTATGCATTTTGTTGTTTATGCCCTTGTTTATGTGGTTAGGATGTTGTTACTCACGCACGTCGGTGGAGGAAACTACTGAGTCTGACTCAGTCAACGACGTCACGAGTCCTTGATACCGCCGGGGTAGGACTCGTGCGCTTCTCCCGACGGCCATTTCCTTGCTTGTGCTGCATGGGCAAACCGTATGGAGACATGCTTTATTTGTTTTCGAATGTTGGTAATGTTCGTTGTTTGCATATGTTTGCATGTTGCCATTTGGGGTTGGATTGACACATTCATGTCCAAACGATATTGTTGTGGCTCTACCCCCAACCCTCCCGTGGTGTGTAGGACTTTGATTGCTTTGTTTGAGTGTGTTGGTTTAAACTGTTCATGGCGCCACCCCACCGCCCCACCCAAGCTAAGGATTGAATACCACACCGATACCTTTTTTGTTATGTGGGTTCTCTCTTCGGGGTGGTTCTTTCCTTTTGGCATGTGATTGTAGGTTAGGGGTGCCGCCGAGATGCTCAAGGGTTCGTTTGAATCACAGAAGCTCATTGCTGTGGTTCATGGCCATTGAAGTAGATGTGTAAAACTCACCACCCAGGCGTTGCTACAGATGGTTCTTGTACCATATCTTCAGACTGAAGTCGTTGGCTTCAGCGGCTTTTCCGTTCTTGCAGGCACAGCGCCTAGCGGGCCGGCCATGGTCGGGAGCTTAGTGGCTGCGTGTGTGAGGGAGTAGGAACTGATTCATCAGCAGAGGTGCCAGGGTGGGACTTTCTTGCAGCTATTCAGCAGCTCATATGATTGTGTAGATGCAGCTGCTAAGATCTCATAGGGTGTAGCTCTTGAACTTGGAGATTAGATCTTCCATGAAGGTATGAAGTCAGTCCTCTCACTCGGGATTGGAGCCTATGAATGAGTCTATACGAGTCTATCATAGCCATATAATACATATTTTTTAGTTGGGGCCGAACTCACGACCCTCACCCTGAAGAATCTAACCACAGGATCTTTTGTGGGGAAGAACAATCAGTACAATCTATCAGTTGTAGATCTTGGCAGGGACCCCACTTAATTGTCCTGATTTGTGGCAACTAAGGCGACGATTGTTGAGGATTGCTGCGAGCTTAGTTTGGCTGGCTTCAGGCGACACTATAACTATGGACAGATGCCTCTCAACTTGACTAAATCGATCAAATGGACGATCACTTCGTTCTTTTTGTTGGAATTCGTAGCAGAAGTGCGATTGCTTTTCCGCATTCGGTATGATGAGCGACCTGGGTTTACATGCTTTGGAGCTTTCACCTGAGAAAACTTATCAAGGTGATGTGGATGCTGAATCACGTCAGGCCAACTAGGCCAACTAACCCAAGGTACAGAACTCTTGTTTCCTTTACTTGCCGTGCGAGGCAAGCTCCATTGTCAAGAAGCAGCGCATGAGCTAGGCCTTCGCTGACAGAATCAATGCCCGGCCATCACAGTTGATGCTTTCTGAGTTTGCAGGGTGGCCCCGTCCCAGCAAGGTGAGCTCCAGAATGATTCAGCACATTTTGGCAGTACTTGAACAAAAATCATGACGGTGTCCTTCACGATAACCCGACCCCTCTTGCAGGCCATATCCCGTGTTTGCCTTGTCTCAAGGGAAACGCATCGGAAAGGCTGTGGCCGCGTGACGTCTCTCAGCGGTCAATGTTCGGATCCTGTAGGAGATGATGGATCAGGGGAGGCCATGGATTTCCAGATGATGTGGTCGTACGGTTGTATACCTTAACACCTGGGATGTGTAGGTTTGCTTTGCCTTCCCGCGACACTGCACCTGGAGACACTGGACATGTGTGTCCATGGATTGCCCCCATTTATGTCCCGCATGTATGGAACACCTTGGTGCCATTCTTACTTCTCAACCAGGGAGAGGTTCAGGTTCGCTAGTAGGAACATGGAAAGCCCAACTGCATATCAATATCGTTGACCGCTGAGAGACGGCATCAAGCCAGAAGCCTACAGAGAGAGCCACTCAGCCCTTGGGCCTTGGGTTTCGTAGAGAAAATGTGACACATGCTTGAGATGTGAATGCCAGGGGCTCGTGGCCTGTACATGTTTAGTTAGGAGAGTATGCCCAGTGAGTCATGATCAGGAAGTCAGCAAGTGATCAAATCGGAAGGATACAGAATTGAAAAGTGTCCATGGTTCGTAGAATGAATCCCACATATACTTTGTAGAATCGAAGACTTTCAAACATGTTCAAGACAAGAAGCGGCGGACTCACCTTGATCATGAACGCTTCATTTCGGTGTGCAAAGACGTCAAGTTTAATGCTGGCAAACGTCCGCGCAAAGATCCAGAGTGAAACAGACACATCATCTACATATTACATATCATTAAACACCAATCACCCAAAAAGAAAAGCCAACGACCAATGTTTACTATAATTATAGCAACTTGTGGTGAGCGATTGCAGATAAGATTCCCATCCCATCTCAACGATCCATAGATGGCCACTAAGGGGCTTGGGTGTAATCTTCTCAGGTCGATCACTTTGTTTGTCAGGTGTGTGGAAATTTTGAAGAGTGTTGAGCAAAGGTAAAGGTATAATGAATCTGGAACACTGTTTAATTAATTAATGACCTACTATTTAGAACCGCGTAGAAGTACAGGAACTCTTTGAGGATTATGCCTAAACTTCTTTTTTTGGATGCTGTTTTCAAGGTCCATGAACCTTTAGACAATTTTAGATTGCACAACCTGTTGGCATGTTCGCTGTACATCTTGGGCTCCAGCAAGAACAATTTGCTCAAGTCGGGCTCATGGCGGCAACAGCGCAAATAACGAAGTCTCCGGGTTCATCTCAAAGCACCCAAACACCAATTGTATGGATCGGCAGCGTGTCTGGAAGGCTCTTGGGGTGTGCTTCCTGTCTTGGGATTCGAAGTTCTGACAGACTGGAATCGAAGCATCGAAGCATTGCCCCCCAAATGAAAAGACTATTCAGTCACTATGTGACCATGGGCGAAGAGAAGAGGGAGCACCACTTGCTTATAACATGAGGTACGGCCCACCCTGTCCAAGGACCCCAACAAGATCCAACAAGTCTCAAGCTCCATCATGAACCAGTTCTTTTTCCCTAACAAAAATGGCGTAGTGCAATGGAGCTGCGGACCGGCGCGCCCTTGCAAGTGCGCGTGGAGCGCCACTCCACGGCACTGAGAAGGGTTGTGAGGCTGGGGTGTTTGTGGGCCAGGCGGGTTCTGCCATCCACCTCGTGGCGTGAAAATTCACGCGTTTTGGGTTGGTAGCTGCATGTAGCTGCACATGTGTTTGATGAAGTTTATGTGAAGCCTGTTAAGATCTACCACTAAATCGTTCATCATTTGAAGTACTAAATACTATATCACTTTTGGGATATGTTCACTAACAAACCTTTTGTATTATTTATATATATATTCTATATTGTATATTAAAGTAATATATTTAAAGTATATAAAAAAGGATTAACGTTTGTGTTTGCTTGATTGCTTCTTCCATATAGGGCTTGAGGCTTTGATTGCACCCCTTTCCTGATGCCTCCATGTTCCTTCTGCGTGAGTACCAAGGACTCGGCGATGAGGTGCAGGAAGACGCCACCGATGGCTGGTGAGGTCCTCGGGAAACACCTCAGGAGGTTAGGCCTTACAGCAGTATGTCCCACAGTTCTTCCTGTTTGTGTCAGAGGCAGGGGATGATTGGCTTATATAACATGAATGTGTTGCATGTGACGTGCATTGTTTGTGTGTTCTTTTTCTTCAGCAAGTATGGCTTACAGATGCTTGCAGATCTGTGTATGTTTGCTGCTGTAAGTTGACCAACACCTCCTGGCACGCAGAGGAAAAGATGAGGAAAAGACTGCAATGTATTAGGCTGCGTTTCATTTTGGGTGGGGATTTCATGGCCCCGGTAAGGCTGACTGTTTATGTCAATGGGCACTCCTCTTTAGATTGTCCTAAGATGTCCTAAGCCTTGCTCCACAAGTGCTCATTGCAAGAGCTGCAAGTGAGTAACGATCATCGCTCTCCACTTCACATCATCCTCCAAAACCTCCACAGCATCTTTGTAGCCAGCTTCCTTGGAGGCAGTGTATCAGGCTCAAAGCCTCTTTTTCCCGAAGCATCCCGAAGCCCTTGAGCCCATCGAGCCCACAGCGCCTTGGCGCTCGCGCGCCCGTGTCAGCACGGTGCGTCGGTGCGTTGGGCGGTCGCTTTCAGGTCTGTGCTTGGAGAGCCTGGCTTTCTGACGCTTCAACGCTGGAGAGCCCAACTGGTGAGAGGGCCTTTGGTGGTGACCCTGAAGGAGTTCTTTGTGTACCTTTGGATGAAGATACACCCGCGAGTTGAAAGGTACCCTTTTGATTCCTTTTGAAGGTGATACCGATACTGCTGTACGATGGTAATTGTGTGAATTATGTGGCATGTGTGTGTTTTTGGCTTTTGGTCTACGGTAGTGCCTTAGAATTTGAGAAGTTCTATCCAACAATGTTGCGTGCATAGGCAGGGCGAACTAAGATGTAAGCCTTTGACAGCCACCAATTTGGGCAACACCCTGTGTGAACCGTCTATGTGCCCCAAACTATCCTCAACATCCCTGACAGTGTGTTCAGCCAAGTGGTGCGACCACAAGTTGTGCTACGTTCCATGCTTTGCGGACACATCAGTATAGCTCATCAGTGCCACCGACTTGAAGGGCACGTGGTTCGGTTTCCTTGCACGGTCGCCATGGCCATGTCATGCTGAGATCTACTTCGCTGCACACACTTGCTGCTGGTCATTGTGTGGCTCGCTTGAGTGTCCAGCGATGCATTGCCACAACGCTAGAGCAGTGGCAGCGGCGATGCGATCGATTGACCAGCATCCTGAGAAGGATCAAGTTCCCGAGGCTGAGGGAGTTTGAGGCAGGTGGTAAAACATATGCGTTGCCCCTGCGATCAGTGGCTCCGCCACGCGACTTGCCAACCCAAGCAGAACTTGAATATTTGGTTGGCTTTTTTGATGGTGACGGCTGCGTGTCAATGCCCCGTGCAAACGGACAGGTGACCCTTCGGATATCTCAGGCGGTAGATTCTGCACAGATTCTGACTCGGTTCCGGGAAGCTCTTGGTGGTGGCATTTATCAGCATGGTAGCAGGACTGGCGCGCGGCAAGCAACTTTGTGTTGGAATGCTGGGGGTGATGCTGCTAGGCAAGCCGCACAGCTGATGAGCAGTCTTCCTTGCGTGAAGAGAAGGCAGTTGGAAATTGCAGCTCAAGGTCCAATTCGACCATCCCTAAGAAATGAAAGAGGAGATGAGCTGAAGTCACTAAAATGGAATCAGAGACCAGAGGTTCTAAGGTGCTCCTGGCGGTACTTAGCTGGTTTCTTTGATGCTGAAGGTTGTATTACCATTGGCCATTCCAGGGCACCGCTGCGGTTGCAATTGGGACAAGTGAGTCCTGGTGTTTTGGAAAGTATTCTGACATTTCTTCGCACAAACAATCTTCATCGCTGGCAACTATACAGTTGCAGTTTTAAATCTTACTTTTCTTTGTGCTGTTGGCATTTTGCAACCAGCAAGCAGACTTTGGAGCACATGCTGGATGCTGGACTACTGGTCAAGCAAAAGCAAGCAGAGCTGGCTCTTTCACTAACTGCAAGCAACAAGAGAGAGGTCCGCAATGCCGTGTCCGAGCTCAATGGACTGCAGAACAGATACAACCGTCTTGACGAAGATGGCATTGAACGCTCCATGCAACTTCAAAGACTATACCAAAAGTTGCGGAAGACCGGCTGCCAACAGAAGGTTGGGTTGCTGCAGAGTGAACTGCAAGAGCTTCAAACACGACATGCCTTGCTGAAGCTACAGTCCAAGTGTGATGCGTTGCGCAGAGACATCCGACAGTCGCTCAGAGAAGGTGGTGCGATTCAGCAGTCTGAAAGTGCCCGCTTCAGCATGCCTGATAAGCCCGACCCAGTGCCCGATCCATATGTAAGTTTGAAGGGAAACACATAATACATACGACAATGGAAGGCCCCACACAAAAGTTCTCCCGTGTTTTGGTATCCTATTATAACAAGCAGTTGATGACGCTCCTAAGGCTTGGGGCTCTATCCGCGCACTGCGCGGCAGCCCTTTGCCACGGGTCTCCATGGTGTGGCGGAAGAGTTGCTCAGACGCTTGGTGCAGCTGTAACAGGGTGTGTAGTTGGGTGTATATGTGTGCACGTGTGTGCGGGAGGGGGATGAGGGAGCAGAGGAAGGAGATGTGGCGGTTGGGAGTTCATTGTAGGCCAAAAGAGTTGCATAGGTGTCCTTTAACTGATCTGTTATGGCAGTGGGCTCTTGGCGGAATACCTTAGGGCAGTCCATTTCTTCTTCCTGAGCACCAGTCCACTATGTGCACGGTTTGGGGACAAATTGGCAAAGTGTGCGAAGCCTTGGCAAGGTTTCAGAAGAACCTTCGTCAAGAGAAAGGTTGCACGAGCAGTAGTGGAAATCAAACGACGCACACACCACCCTTTTGCATTTGATCTCTTCGGGGTGGTGTATCAGTGACCTTTCATCTCTGACACTGTCAACTTAAGCAGCCCAAACTTGAAGACCTCAAGCGTGGTCAGTTTCTTGTTCCAATGTGATGGAGCGGATTGGCTGATTCAGCCAAAATGGACCAAAGCTGCCAGGATCTTTTGGGTTTGGAAGGTCTCTCACCTACCTTGAAGCCGCTTTGGTAGTCTCTCACCCTGCGTGGCCACCGCGTCGCGGACCACTGAGGACGCGCAGAGGCGAAGAATGCCTTGGACGCTCAGTTGCAGAAGACGCTCCGAGCGGCACAGCGGCTGAAAGAGGCCGGCTGCTGCGGGAGTTCCTTGGCTCAGACAGTTGAGGATGTTGAGGATGGAACCCCCAGGTCAGAGCCAATACAGCTTTGTAGAGAGAGAGGGAGTGATTTGTATTTATGTTATTATGGTATGACACACACACACACATGCTTGAGATGTGAATGCCAGGGGCTCGTGGCCTGTACATATTTAGTTAGGAGAGTATGCCCAGTGAGTCATGATCAGGAAGTCAGCAAGTTTGAGTAATCAAATGGGAAGGAGACAGAATTGAAATGTGTCCATTGTTCGTAGAGTGCACATATGCTTTGTAGAATCGCAGACTTTCAAACATGTTCAAGACAAGAAGCGGCGGACTCACCTTGATCATGAACGCTTCATTTCGGTGTGCAAAGACGTCGAGTTCAATGCTGGCAAACGTCCGCGCAAAGATCCAGAGTGAAAAAGAAACATCTACGCATAATTAAACGCCATTGACCAATCTTTACTATAGCAAGTTGTGGTGAGAGATTGCAGATAGGTTTCCCATCTCAACGATCCATAGATGGCCCTCCTAAGGGGCTTGGGTGTCATCTTCTCAGGTCGACCACTTTGTTTGTCAGGTGTGTGGAAATTTTGAAGAGTGTTGACCAAAGTTAAAGGTATAATTGCTTGAATCTCGACCCGAGTTTACAAATTAATCTGACTTACTATGTAGAATCGCCTATAGAATTACACCAACTATTTGAGGACTATGCGAGTATAAGACTATTTGAGGATCTCCTGAACTTGTTGTTTGGATGCTGTTTTCAAGGTCCATGAACCTTTTTCACATTTTTTGATTGCACAACCTGTTGGCATGTTCGCGGTACATCGTGGGCTCCAGAAAGAACGATTCGCTCTAGGGCTCATGGCGGCAACAGCGCAAATAGCGAAGTCCCCACTTCATCTCAAAGCACCGAAGACCAGTTGTACGGATCGGGGCATGTTTGGGGTGTTAGCTTCCACTTCTTGGAATTCAAAGTTCTGACAGCCTGGAACTGAAGCATCGAAGCATACCCCCCAAATGAAAAGACTATTCAGTCACTCTGTGACCATGGGCGAAAGCAAAAAGGAATCACTGCTTGCTTATAACATGAGGTACGACCCTTTCCAAGGACCCCCAACAAGATCCAACAAGTCTCAAGCTCCGTCATGAACCAGTTCTTTTTCCCTAACAAACAATGGCGTAGTGCAATGGAGCTGCGGACCGGCGCGCCCTTGCAAGTGCGCGTGGAGCGCCACTCCACGGCACTGAGATTTGAGGGGTTGCGGGCCAGGCGGGTCCTGCTATCCACTCCGTGGCGTGAAAGATCACGCGTTTGGGGTGGTAGCTGCATGTAGCTGCCCAGTTAGTGTTTGATGATGTTTATGTGAAGCCTGTTAAGATCTACCTTGTGTTTGCTTGATTGCTTCTTCCATATCGTGTTTGAGGCTTTGATTGCACCCCTTTCCTGATGCCTCCATGTTCCTTCTGCGTGAGTACCAAGGACTCGGCAATGAGGTGCAGGAAGACGCCACCGATGGCTGGTGAGGTCCTCGGGAAACACCTCAGAAACCCTTTTGCTGCGTCCGGTTAGGCCTTACAGTATGTCCCACAGTTCTTCCTGTTTGTGTCAGAGAGGCAGGGGATGATTGGCTTATATATAACATGAATGTGTTGCATGTGACGTGCATTGTTTGTGTGTTCTTTTTCTTCAGCAAGTATGGCTTACAGATGCTTGCAGATCTGTGTATGTTTGCTGCTGTAAGTTGACCAACACCTCCTGGCACGCAGAGGAAAAGATGAGGAAAAGACTGCAATGTATTAGGCTGTGTTTCATTTTGGGTGGGGATTTCATGGCCCCGCTAAGGCTGACTGTTCTATGTCAAAAGACACTTCTCTTTAGATCGTCCTAAGCCCCTTGCTCCACAAGTGCTCATTGCAAGAGCCGCAAGTGAGTGACGATCATTGCTCTCCACTTCACAGCATCCTCCAAAACCTCCACAGCATGGCTCAAAAGCCTCTATAGCCATATATGACGACACAATCCGAAGCATCCCCAAAGCCCTTGAGCCCTTGAGCCCCTCAAGCCCACCATACCATGGGCCTTGATGCCCGCCCGCGCATCCCGTTGCAGCACGATGCGTCGGTGCGTTGGGCGTTCGCTTTTAGGTCTGTGCTTGGAGAGCCTGGCTTTCTGACGCTTCAACGCTGGAGATCCCAAGGGCGAGAGGGCCTTTGGTGGTGACCCCGAAGGAGTTTTTGAACCTGTCGAGGAAGTTGCACCTTAGACGCCCTGGAGTTGAAAGCGGAAAACGTTAAGATGATACTGCTTTACAACGGTTTACGGTATAAGGTATACGTGTTTGTGTGTGTGTGTGTGTGTGTGTGTGTGTGTGTGTGTGTGGGGGGGATGTTTTTTTGGCGTGCAGTAGTGCCATGGATTTGAGAAGTACTATCCAACGTTGTTGCGTCTTCAGCAAAGTTGTCAATGCGATCTTTACTCGTTCCAGGTGAAATGCAAGACCCTTTTGAACACCCACCACTTTTGGCAATGCTATAGAGTCCTAAACTGTCCTCAACATCCCTGACAGTGTGTTCAGCCAAGATGTGCTATCTCAAGTGATACTTTCCATTCTTTGTGAACACCACATGCTCATGGCTCATCAGTGCTGCCATCGACTGGAAAGGCATGTGGTTTAGTAGATAGTTTTTTGTTTGGTTTCAACCTGTTGCACTTGTTTCCTTGGTGATGCTATTCATGTTTTGTACCACTGTTGCCGAACAATCCACTTAACCTGTTCTTTTGGTTTTTATATATATATATATGCGTTGACATGGCCATGGCCATGGCATGTTGAGATCTACTGCACGTCACACACTTGCCGCCCTTCATGGTTTGACTCGCTTGAGTTTCCAGCGATGCCTTGCCACAACGCTAGAGCAGTGGCAGAGGCGATGCGATCGATTAGCTTGCCTCTTGAGAAGGATTAAGTTCCCGAAGCTGAGCGAGTTTGAGGCAGGTGGCGAGACATACGCGCTGCCCCTGCGATCAGTGGCTCCGCCACGCGACTTGCCAACCCAAGCAGAACTTGAATATTTGGTTGGCTTTTTTGATGGCGACGGGTGCGTGTCAATGCGCCGTGCAACTGGACAGGTGGCCCTTGAGGTGTCTCAGGCGGAAGGTTCTGCTCAGATTCTGATTCGGTTTCGGGAAGCCCTTGGTGGTGGCATTTATCAGCAGGGTAGCAGGACTGGGGCGCGGCAAGCAACTTTAAAATGGAAAGCCGGGGGCGATGCTGCGAGGCAAGCCGCACAGCTGATGTGCCGTATTCCTGGCATGAAGAGAAGGCAGTTGGAAATTGCAGCTCAAGGTCCAATTCGACCATCCCTAAAAGATGAAAGAGTAGACGAATTGATGGCACTAAGAAGCAGCAATCAGAGACCAGAAGTTCTAAGGTGCTCCTGGCAGTATTTAGCCGGCTTCTTTGATGCTGAAGGTAGCATTAGCGTGAGTCATTCCAAGACATCGCTGCAGTTGCACTTGGTACAGAGGAACCCTTGTGTATTGGAAGATATTTTGACATTTCTTTGCCAAAACAAACTTGATCGCTGGCGACTGTACAATCATAACTATTGCTTCGTGTTGTGCTGTGGACATTTAGCAACCAGCAAGCAGAGTTTGGAGCACTTGCTGGATGCTGGACTACAGGTCAAGCTAAAGCAAGCAGAACTGGCTCTTGCGCTAACTGCAGAAAACCATAGGGAGGTCCGAAACGCCGTGTTTGAGCTTAATGGCTTGCAGAACAGGTACCAACGCCTTGATGAAGATGGCATCGAACGCTCCAAGCAAATTAAAAGAATGTACGACAAGTTGTACAGGACCAGCTGTCAACAGAAAGCTGAGCTGCTGCAGAGTAAACTGCAGGAGCTTCAACAAGAACATGTCTTTCTAAAGCTGCAGTCCAAGTGCAATGCGTTGCGCAGGGACATCCGACAGTCGCTCAAAGACGGCGGTTTCATTCAGCACTCTTAAACTGCCCGCATCAGCATACCTGGTAAGCGCTGTCCATTTGCTTTGACGCCTGGTGGTTGGGTTAAGCTGCGCAAGACAGATTTGCAGAGAAAGGTTATGACCCATTTTGACAAACAGTGAGTAAAACAAAGAACGACCTTGTTGTCATTTGCTTTGAAGCCTCCTCCCCTGCATGGTGCAACACCGTGCCACTTCCTTTTTGACAATGTCCTCAATTGCATTTCTGCCACATGCAAGTTTGAAGGGCAAGCATGTGTGTGTGACAACCCGTTCCCATGTTTAAATTTCCCCTACCCAGTCGCACCACCACCCACCGCCCGTTGCTTCACCGAGAGCCACACACCCCAAAGGCCTGGGGCTCTATCCGCGCACTGCGCGGCAGCCCTTTGCCACGGGCCTCCATGGTGTGGCGGAAGAGTTGCTCAGATGCTTGGTGCAGCTGCGACAGGGTGTGTATGTGTTTGCGGGAAAAGGGTGAGGGAGTGGGTGAGGGTGGCGATGTGACAGTTGGCAGTTCATTGTAGACCAAAAGAGTTGCATAGGTGTCCGTTCTTCTTTCAATACTGATATCATGATATGTTATGGCAGTGGGCTTTGGGCAGAATACCTTCGGGCAGTCCATTTCTTTTTTCTGAGCACCAGAAAATGCGGACGGTTTGGGGACATATTAGCAAAGTGTGCGAAGCCTTGGCGAGGTTTCAGAAGAACCTTCGTCAAGAGAAAGATTGCACGAGCAGTAGTGGAAATCAATCGCCACACACACACACACCATCCTTTTGCCTTTGATCTCTTCAAGCTGGTGTATCAGTAACCTTTGATCTTTGAGAGTGTCAACCCGAGCGGCCCAAACTTGAAGACCTCAAGGGTGGTCAGATTCTTGTTCCAATGTGATGGAGCGGATTGGCTGATTCAGCCAAAACGGACCAAAGCTGCCAGGATCTGTTGGGTTTGGAAGGTCTCTCACCTACCTTGAAGCCGCTTTGGTAGTCTCTCACCCTGCGTGGCCACCGCGTCGCGGACCACTGAGGACGCGCAGAGGCGAAGAATGCCTTGGACGCTCAGTTGCAGAAGACGCTCCGAGCGGCACAGCGGCTGAAAGAGGCCGGGTGCTACGGGAGTTCCTTGGCTCAGACAGTTGAGGATGTTGAGGATGGAACCCCCAGGTCAGAGCCAATACAGCTTTGTAGAGAGAGAGAGAGAGTGACTTGTATTTCTGTTATTATGCTATGACACACACACACACACATGTGCAGCCGTTTGGCTGAAACATTCAATTCATGATTGGCTTTATCAGCATCTTTCAGCTGATCATGATAGCAGTATGGCCACCCTGAGGACCGCAGTGACCCTGCACCATCCCTCTCACGTATATATTCCGTTTGAAGGACATGGATAGCTGCTGCAGATGACGCATTGAGCCATGACACAAGGTTGTGTGTTTGCGTTTCTGGTTCAGAAATGTGTGAGAAAACGGGTTCTTTACCGCAGCCCCAATGTGCGAAGTCGTGACCTCATGCCCTGCTTATGCCGAGGCTTGACCATTGATGAGCTTTTGGCTGTGATGCTTTGCGTTGGGCCGAGACGCTGGGCCGCACCGGGAGCCACTGATGAAGCCAATGGTAGAAGATTGTGTTATATAGAAGAAATGTAGCTGAGATGGAGGGAAGGTCTTAAGATGATGGATCACACAATAATATTAAACTTATAATATAGTTACATATCCTCTACTTACTACTCCACTTCATGCTACATGTCAAGAGATTTGTGTGTTCTTCAAGGCAACTAGAAGAATAGGACTGCTTGTTTCCACTTTCCATTTGTTGCTTCTGTATGGCACCAAATTGATTTGCAGCGGGGAGCGGACACAGATGCTTCGACTGCTCTGAGGTTCGGGTGGGCCGATGGCCCTTCTGCCACATGTGCAGGAGTTCATGACTAGACCTCTCCGCCAAGGGGAGTGAGTGAGTATACTGAACAAGAACGCTGTTTAGCAGGAGATTATTGGCTGTTGAGTCCATGCTGTCATTTGCTGCTAAGCAGTGACTACTAAACAGAGGGCTAGCACTCAGAACCCCGGAAGGGGAGCGGTTGAACATGAACACAATAGCAAATCAGTTTCCCCTCACTCGAAAACTTGACACATCCCATCCTGGCTGTTAAGCAGCCAGTTCAGCAGTCATGTTCAGCAGCATGTTCAGCAGTTCAGCACCCATGACGCAGCCCCGCTCCGTCCTGACGCAGCCCCGCTCCACCGCTCACCGCCACCAGGAGGACACATGGTTTGCGGCCTTGAACCTCTTCTTGGCCTCGAGGCCCGGTGTGTCTCCTATTTGGGTTACTTCAGTGAGAGTGAGGACGACGTAGTCTTTTGGTTAAAGTCGCCTCTTAACTCTTGGATGGCCAATTACTACTGAAATTTGAGGGAGGAGATCCTGCATTTTGAAGAACACCAAGCCCTGCACGAATCGCGGATGATTCTTCGCAGGCATCCTGAAGCTCCTGAGCCAGGCAAGGTGGGAAAGCTGGTCACTGTGTCACGGTGGATCACCTTTTGATGTATTGTTCCACTTTGGGGGTTTGGGAACCCCACAAAAATGCATGCTTTTGGTGAATGCATGGTTGCCATAAGGTGTTCATTCTCCATAGCTTCAGGTGCTAGCAGTACATACGGCAGCTCCCCTGTCCGGGAACCGTCGCTTTCAAGCAGTCTGGCAGGCGGCTCCCGAGGCACCATCAGCACGGAGCGCTTGTGGGAGGCCGCGGGAAGCCGGACGAACCTTCCGGACCTCATCCAATTGGTCGCCGATAGGAAAACCCCGGTAGGCCTTAAATTTGTGCTGTGTATTTTTCCATGTGCTTCGTCACAGTCTTGAGGACAAACCTGATTTTGTTTGACATTCGGACCCCTTTCTAGCGATGGGCATGAATATTATTTATCTGTTGGGCTTGCATAGAGGCGGGTCCTTGTGGCGTGCAGAATGCCAGCAGAGCCCAAAAATTTGAAGGCAGTGCTCCCAACCCCCTGGGCCCTAACACCCATCGACGGGCCGTCGACCCCTCCAGCTGCTGCTTTGAATTCGCAGGTGTTTCTGGGAGATGTCATGGCCGGATTGACCAGCCTTCGGCTGAGGCAGTCCCAGGCAGGAATGTTTGGTGATGGGATTCAAGGGTTGAAAGTTGACAGCAGATGGTCAATTGTTTTATCTGCTTTGCCTTTTCCAGCGATGTTTGGTTGATGTTTAGGGAGATGCTTGGACACTGTTTGCCTTCGGAGGAGCTCTCACATTGTTACCGACTGTGCTGGGTACCACTACAGCTTTGGCAACGCCTTGAGAGCTTCTTGGCTTCGAAGGGCAAGTTGCTGCAAGGGTTCTTTTGCCGTGCCAGTTAAATGTCTTACGGCAAGGCACTGCAAGTCCAAGTAAATATGTCCCACACTCATCGTGAATTCCAGGCCTTGCCAAGTTGGCATGTCTAGGAAACTGGATGGTCACTCGATAGTCACATGTTGCATAAATGAGTGCTTGCATATCAATTCGCCATGTGTTTCACATGTAAACCCTCAGACTGCTCGTTGGCACCACCAAACTTGAGGTGCTGATGAGGATCAATTCCTGTGCTTCGATGCCATGCAAAGCGTGGGGGGGGACCCAGGAACTGACCCAGGTTTTCAGCAACTGCTGTCCACCGTGTCCGCTTGTTATTCTATATTTGGGGTAATAACGCTGGATTAAACCCCATTTTTGGTGGAAAGATTGAATGTTGATCTTTGTATAGTGGGATTTTATGTTTGTTCAATGAGCTGTAGACGTGTTGTTGGATGCCTTGTGTGACCTTTACTTTTTGGATTAGCGCAGTGCTGACTCTTGAGCTCAAGTTTGGACAATGGCTTGATCACAGAGAGATGCTGCTGGCAGTGCGCTCTGTGCTATCTCACCACCACTCCATTCGCCATGTTCACCTCACGACGTTGGCGGCTTTGCTCCCCACGAGCCAGGTCACGGCACTACACTTGGCAAATCGGTCACCTCAACGATACCAAGAGAAACTGAATGTCATCTCCAAGCGTTTGAAGGGTCACATGAACACACTCAGATGGCCGACTTTGAGGCATTTGGAGGTTGATGGTGTGCGATATGAGCTGCCGGTGAAGTCAGAATGCTTTGGCTCCGCCTCGAGGTTTTGGACCCAACCAGAAGCAGATGTCGTGTACTTGGCTGGCGTTTTTGATGGTGATGGTTGTGTTTCTTCTGAGAGCCGCTTGACAGGCTGCGCTTTGTCGGTGGGCCAGTCACTCTCCGGCCAAGCAATTTTGCTGGCATTCTGTCGGGCGTTTGGAGGTACCATTGGCATCCTCAATCAAGGCAAGGGGAGTGCACGCCCCGCGTTGTGTTGGAGAGTGTACGGAAACGCGGCTAGTTTGGCAGCTGCAGCATTGCATAGCCATTGCCATGTCAAGCAAGAGCAGCTTGGCATCGCTATGACTTGGCCTCGCACTACATGTGAGAGAATACAGAGCGCCTCAAAGCTCAAGGCCCTGAAGACAACGACACAGAAAGCTGTTTCAAAACATGCCTTGTCATGGGAATACATCACTGGATTTTTTGATGCTGAAGGCTGCATTAAAGTTATGCCCAGTAGCAAGTGTGTCAGGCTAGTTTTTGCTCAGAAGGATCCTGCTGTTCTCCAAGCCATTCAGAAGTTCCTGAATGCCCACTGGCCCCTGTGCGGTGCCAAAATCTACTCAGAGCCAACCTGCCTCGATATTAACAGGAAGGAAGCTGTTTGCAACATTTTGAGGAAAATGCTGTCTCACGGGCTGCTTGTCAAGAGGGCAGAAGCCCAGCACATTCTGGCATCTATAGAATCCAAATCGTCACACTCACAGTTGCGCAGCACCAGCGGCCATAGGAAGGGCTTTCAATCACGGTACCGTCGGCTAGATGCTGATGGATGTGTCAGGGCCAGGAATATCCATAATCTTCAACGCAGATTGAATGCTGCCTTGACGGTACGTCAAGAAAAGGTGAATGTTGCAGATTTACAGTCGGAGCTTGCCGCAGCCAAGAGTGAACATAGGTTTTTGACCACGCAGACTCAGATACAAAAGCTCCGAACAGACATTGCTTGCCTTGGCCGCATGAGACAAGTTGTTGTTGACACCGGCTGCTTGGATCCACTGGTGGATTTGCCGGAGATGGAATAAGCGATGGTTCTTGGCTCCACTGGTGTCAGCTGTCCCGAACGAGAAGTGTGAGAACCGAAGCAGACCGGAGACCGATGTGGTGGTGGCATCAGAGCTGGCATGGCGCCGATGTGGCGGTGCATCAGGCATTCGCAGACAGAAGCAAGGAGCCAAGTGGCCGTTTCTGGGCACGGTTGGCTCACACTTCCTGACCTGATTGCACCTGATCTGACTTCACTGCTCCTTTTGGAGGCAGAGCTGGTCCAACACAGGGACAACACTGAAGTATCCTGCACTACTGAAACAGCGAAGTGCCCCAAAGCCAGGGCACTGGTCAGCTTTATAACTGTAGGGGATGGCCAAACCTTGCATTTTGGATCACTCCAGGGGCCTAGGGATCGCGATGGGCTCAAAAGAAAGTGAGGGAGAGCCTCATAAAAGTTTATTAATGCTGAACAGTCAACCACAACCACCCAGACAGAGACGTTCAATTGTCGCACTATGTGTAGGCAGTCCACTTCGCATGCTTCCAGACCTAAGCTGAGTGGCAACTTGACCTGAGGTGGCGAACAAGGAACCTTGGCATTGCTTAGAACTTTTGCCACAGGGCTGCGTGCCGCCACTTGGACAGCAAGGACCTGTTACGGGTGGAGATCATTGTTGACTGCAAGAGTTCCTTTTGGAAAAGACGTGTAGTATTGGGATCTATTTCAAGGGTGTGCCACCGAACTATGTCTGGGAGTAACTATGTAGATTTCTCTTCAGGAAGATTGCCAGCCATTGATGGATCGCGAGAGAGTGACGGAGAGTTGAGAGGTCAGTCAGTCGGTATTGTGGACTCTGGATGACTCCCTCGTAGAGAGCTGTGAGAGGTGGGGGGGGCAGCGGGCCGTGAGCAGGAGCTGTTGCTGTTCTCAACGTTGCCATGTGAGGTGCTTGTTGGAGTTCGACACGCACATTGCCCGACAAGCAGTTGATGTGCACGAACTCGCAGCTGCCATCGAAGGCCTCTTGCTGGTGCGCGGGTGTAGGTCTTTATGTAAGGGAGCCATCATTCTTGCTTGTGCACTCTATCGATTTGTATGATTTTGCATATGTATATTTATATGTACAGTATTTATCAGCCAGCAGTATATTTATATTCTGTTAAGCTTGGCTGCTGCGCTGAGCTCAGGAAGCGAGCTACCTGAAGGTGCAACGGCCGAGGCCTGCCCAACAGAGGCTTTTGGTGTTTTCATACTTAGCATTTTTGCCGGCATGGCATGGAGAGTGGAGACCTCCACCAGAAACCGGCCTTGGCTAAACTTTCGATTTCCATCCCATCAGTTCGTGCTTGTCAGGCTACTTTAGCTCTTTGCGGCTTGATGCTGTGCAACACTGCTCACTGGCTTGAGCTTCCCTATATATCTTTGCGAGTACCGTATCAAGCTGGTGAGCTTCCAACAGAACCAACACCACCTTACTGGTTTTGTTGGTTCTTCCCTGCACCTCCCCAACAGAACCGTTCCGTTTCTGCTCGTTTTGGCAGCCTGGGACGAGGCGCACGAGCTGCTCCTGCCGCCCTTCCTGCGTGGCAAGCTGGGACAGGTGCGCCGCGCCCCTGCGCCGCCACCGCCACAGCCTTGGTCAACGCATGGAGATCCTGGATTGCTTTATTTGTATGTGAACAAAAAACTTAATAACAACACGGCATAATACCATATTCAAAAGAAGTTAGTTAGCACTTAGTTAGCTTCAACAACGTACAGCTATATATACGCATCATTTTCCCATATAATTACATCGGCTACTTATCCAGGCTCGGAGAGAGAGGATTGTGCCGTCATATATGGCGATTATATAGCTGCTTCATCTCCTTCCGCTGAAGGTATCACTTGGAAGTCTACCACCTGGAGATCCTGGGCTTCCCGGAAACCGACCTCTCCGAGACCTTGCTTCAGTCCCCTCCGGAGGCCACGGGGCAGCTGGATACATCCGTCTGTGGTGACCACACCGGGCAAGTCTGTTGAGCGCCACATCCGTGTTGCAAGGCTATGGCTGCATGGAGGGGAGGGTTTGTCAGGTTTGTTTGTGAAGCTTGGCACTTTGTGGGTGATGAGTGTGTTGTTTTCTTCATCCTAAGGTGAGAAAAAGAGAGTGTGAGTGATCTCAAAGCTGGGCATCAAGAGTGTGAAACAGGCCATCTTGGCGGCCTCTCTCCTGCTGAGCTTGCAACGCTCCAGAGAGGCTCAGCCGAGTGGTGGGGTTGGTTCGACTGTTTTCGTCGATGAAGCAGTCATGACAGTGTTGGCGTATAGATGTGGGAAGGTCGCGTTTGTTTGAAAAGCGGCGGGTCATGTTCAGGAAACGGAGATGGTTGGGTGAGTGAGAAGTACGGTACAGGATTCTTTTGCATGCTCTTTGCGCACAAACTTTGGGGGGCTAGTGACAGAAGCACTGCAATCATTATATAACTACATTTGATGTATTTTGATGTATTGATTCCGACTGATTCATTTTCGAGGTGAGTCAGTTCAATGAAGCAGTTGGGTGATGTACCAGACGGACACAGATAGCTTGAGCTTTGCTCCGATGTACCAGACCTGCCTTGCATCGAGTGCTGAAGAAGATCATGCGTTCGTGCGACTGCCTGGCTGGCGTATACTCATTGGTATATGGATGGTAGTCGTGCACTGCGTCGCAGGAGCAGCACGAAGCGGGTTTCACCTGCATCGCTCCAGCCGAGAAGGAGGCAGAGTATCGATGTGCAGCGCTCGGACACGGGAGGGACCGAGGGACCTGAGAACAGTTCAGAGGAAACACGTACTACACTTCCCTGGAACGTGTCCTTCATGGTTTCGTGGATGGCATGGCTTGTTGGATGATCCTTTTCCTTTACTTCGATACTGAGTCAGAGTGTACACTCCCTTCAAACGTCCTTCATGGTTTCGTTCGATGGGATGGGAAAAGACCAACAAGAGGTTGCTGTTTTCGCTCCACTTATCCATGATAATTTCAGGGTTCCGGTATGTACCATGGTTTTGAAGGTGGTGTTTTCTTCAAACTTGTCTTCAAACGGTGCCTTTCAAACAATATTCTGACATGTATCTATGGTACTGGAGGCAGGTATGACTGAACTTGGTGACCAGATGCTGAGATACCGAGGTGAGAAGGCTTCAGAAGAGAAGGAGTGGTGGGACATGACTTGACATGACGAAGTATGTGGCCTGGTGTGTTTTTCGCTCGAAAGCATGGAACAGTTTGGATGCCTCCTCAGGAGCATTTTGTAATGCAGTATTTACAAGCGTGTCCAATTCTTTGCCAGTAACCATTCCAGCCTTTCTCCATGAGTTTGCAAAAGCCAACCCACCAACCGCGCGACCGCGCAGGACACGTCGGATGCCACGTTTCCGCCACCCGCGGTGCCTCCGGAGACTGCTCCACCTGCTGAGCAGGTGTGGAAGTCGTGGTGTGCATCGGAAGGGCGAGGATTCGCCAACACAGATGATAGCGTTTTGGAGATATATTGTGGAGTACCATCCAAAATTTATGCGATTCCCTGTTAATGTTGGTCATGTATCGTTTCAATGTCTGAACGTCACCTATATCGCAACCACTGCAGATCCGAAAGAAACAACATGTGAGGCTCTAGTCTCCAGTCTAGACTTGCCCAAGACTCCCCACTTCCGAACCCACCACGAAGCCGCTCCTTCGGAGGCCCCCGAGGCGCCGCTTCGGCGGACGCTGCTGGCATTGGCCTCCGACTGCTTCGCGCAGCTCGCGGAGGCCGTGGAGGTGCCAAAAAGCCGCCGGTTCGGAGGGTACGCTCAACTAAGCTGGTGTGACAACTGCTTTTTGTAGAATATTCCATAACATTCCAACATGAATCATGAGGACCACACACCGGGCATTCCACTGAAGGAGGCCGGCATTCCGGAGCTTCTTTCCGATGTTCTTTTTGTGTGCGTGTGTGATGATGTTCAACGTCGAGGAACATCATGACATCACGGTGGTGTATTGAGACTTTTCTGGATGTGTGACTTGTGATACATGTTTTTTTTTTTTTTATGTTGTTTTGTAGTTCTAGGGTTCGGGGGGTGGCGGTCTTTGCATCCTTTGTTGGAAGCATGTTGTACGTTTGTGGATGTGCAGGTGGCCAAGAGTTGGCACATTTTTTTTTGACCCTTGGGATCTCGTTGGCCGCGATGTGTTGGAGGCAGAGCAACAAATGCTGCTCCTTTAGACACTTTCGTGAGCTCACTTCATGAATTCATAAACAGGTATGACATGGTATGACAACTATAAGCTGGTAACGGGTGACTTAATGTGGGTCAATATGAAACATTCCCGAACATTCCAACATGAATCGCGTTTTGTTTCTTCACCAAGATCTTCGGGTCAGCTGTCACGCCGTCGGGATGCAGACCACCCCGGAAAACCGCTGGGGGAGCCGGCCGTGGCACCAAGGTGCGACACCTGGGCACGGTGAGTACCGTGTGGAAGGGCTACTTGGAATGCGCCTTAGATGGCACCAACTTCTGGAAGGCTCCGGTCCTTTTTTTCCGCGCCAAAACGAGCTGCGCCTGCGACGTTTGGGGGTTTGAAATGGCTTTCATTTGGAGACTTAACGCTTGAAACGGCCAAAACACACTGAAGTTGAGGGAGTTCGTTCTGTAGACTGCCGTGATCTCACGTTCGGTGGCGCGCTGCTTTGTCGCCACAGGAGGTGGGCGAGGCTCTACAGATGGGCGTCTTCGGCATGGCGAGGAGGGGCAGTGGAGGGTAGGCAGTGGTTGGACTGGTTGGTGGCGTGAGTGGGAACAACTGGAAGAAGTAAACGCCAAGATCCACCCGATATAATGGTTGATCTGGGGCTGAGTCTTAATACGCTTAATAATCGTATGTTGGTCCTTCATGAGCGGGATTCCTAGTATACAAGCATATACTTACAGACTGAGGAGCACTGTCATCACCATGGCAAGACCATAGCAAAATGATGCAATATGTTTGGACTCCACATGCGGACGTGAAATGAGTTCCGTCACTGACTCCGCTTGATGTGGTCTACTGGGAGACGATTGATGGCATGACTTGAGCGACTTAGCGACCTGGTTGAATTCTAATTAGCTTCACTTCAAGGCACGCAGCACACAAAGGGCCAACTGACATCTTCCAAAGCACTGGTTTGGAGGAGAGAGAGAGAGAGAGATGGTCTTTGGTAGTTAGGTCCAAGTTCAGAGAAAGCTCGTCGTTGAGGATCTTCGTTAGCTACAGATCGATTTCCACACGCACCGCTGATTTCAACACCGACTGGAAGAACATAGAGAGTTGTCGCTCCTCTCTTTTGGCCAAGAAAAAAAAAAGACATCCAAAAGTGCCGGTTCCAGCTGCTTAGCTCAAAAGAAGCTGGGGGTCGTCTCGAGTGTGAAAAACTCGACAGAGCCCAAACCCGGGCGAAAGCAATTGGGCTGCGGTGTCTAGATGGAGTCCTCACATCCGGGTAGCAGAGTGTATAGAAGTACCACGCTTTGCAGGTTGCACAGGTTGATTTTCACACATGTTCGCATCTTAGCACGATCTGCAAGCATTCAGCCCCCCCCGCCAAGTTTCAACTCAACCAAGACTCCAAGATACTTTCAAGATCATCTGCAGACTGTTCCAAGTCCCAGCTGTTCCACTTACTTCCAACCTGAAGATCTGCCACGCCGCCCAGTCGTGCGCCTATTCCTCCTGCCATGAGCGCTGTTTGATCGTACCGGTGCCGCGGCGTTCATGCTACGGGAATTGCCACGTCTTCTACGGAAGCCGCGGAAGAATGCCAGCCTTGTGTTGCAGGCAGGGGGAGCTGGGTAGAAGAGGGTAGAGGGCTGCAGCTGACCGCACGGTCCCGAAACGAACCGCGGCCGAAGTGCGGGCGCTGTTGGTTTCTGTTGAACACCCGCAAGACCAAACACTTGGACACCCCACCGAACCCCCCTGGCAGCGCTCATCTTGTTTCGGGGAGATGAAGGTTTTGGAGGGGGGCTTCGGGGCTTCCGGAGTCCAAATATCGGATCCCAAGCGAATTCCGGACGGAAGAAGAAACGACGGGGTGTGTGGGGGAATGAACGAAATGTGAAGGCTCCCGCCACCGACGGCCCAGGCGTTGGTTTTAAGTCTCATGTTGGGTTGGCAGACGTGGCACCTTCGAGACCTGGACGTGGCTTAGCACTGGCTGCGCAAGCGCTTGCGATGGGCAACGGGGAAGGAGTGGAGTTCAAACCACCATGTTGACCAATTTGCATTCAATGCTGCTCCTCAAATGGTTGGTTCCACGGTTCCATAGAGAGAACGACGTAGTTGCATGCCTATGAGATGGGGAAAACATGGGACACACAACGTGAATCCTGTTGGTCGCATGGAAACTGTTGAAGCCTGCGCTCCCAAGGCACCAAATCCGATGAATGGCCTCCTAGGAGAACTTGTTCTTTAGCAACCAGGTAGGGGGAATGGGCCCGGCCACAGATCACTTGCGAACTGAGTGCCCTTTGGAGATGCCCAACCCGACCACACTGAACCGGGCCCGTTTCAGGGTGACTCTGCGACGATCCCTTTCGGACCTTCCCCAACGCCCCTCCCCGTGGTGCTTCGGCTTTCTTGCCCCCCCAATCTCGATGAGGTGGTGGATCTAAGGGAGGTCGATCCAGAGTTCACAGTTGTTCAGTGGCCCTACGTGCCTCGGCAGGGCGGGTCGAGTGGCAGTGCCGCAGTGATTTCGGGGGCCCGTTCGTCCGACTGGCGAGGTCACATCGACACATCAGAGGGAAGATAGGGGAGGGGGCGGTTGAATTCATTTTGCGACCCACCCGCAAAGAAGATGATTTTGCAGAGGAACTTGGTTGTTGCTTGGGGTGATTTCTTTCCCTATGTTCCTGTGGGATCCTATGGGCCTATGGCGGCCTATGGCGGGGTGAATCCCTTTTCAGGGAATTATGAAGGAAGATGTTTTGCTGATTCCCGGTTCCTGAAGCAAATCTCATGGAGGATCAGGGTCGAAAGACCTCGCGAAGCCGGAGAGGCCAAAGTTCAAACGCAAAACAATCCCAGACTATCCATGCATAAAATTGTTACATGAGGTAAAAGGATGTAAAATGGGTAAATGCACTTATATAAATGCAAGTAGCTATTCGATAGATGGATGGTTTGGGAAAGGGCAACACCATCTGCTTGAGCTCCAAAATTCAAGATCCCTCTACTGCATATCATAAGTTCATGCAGCTCAAAATTGTTGAACTTGCATTACAATATATATGATTCACCGTATGTGTGTTGCTGAGCTAATGGTCACCCGTGGTCCTTTCATTCTCCGTCTCAATGGTTTTCGGCCGTAACTTGGTGAGAAAATGCCTGATTCGGCTCTTCTGGACTGAATGCAGTCAAAACGTATCACTCCTATAGCAACCGGAGAAATCCAGTTGGGGAAGCCCGGATTCTCATGTTTGCCATAATCAAAAGTATCCAAGAAGGGTGGGTGCATCTATATATACGGTCACGTGAGCAACTCAGACGGTTGGATCAAGCTTGTGTGAGGTAGTAGCGGCCACAATCTTTCTGATGGAGTTCTTCATTTGCTTTATAGTCATTTTGCTGCTCCGCTTGATGCCACTCCGGTCGAAAAAACACGGGCGTGTGGGGGTGTGACAGGGTGTGCTGTGTGTGTGCCTTTCAGTGGAAGTCCCACTGCCTCTTTGTGGGGAGTGTTGGATCCGGCATGGCGGACCATGAGGATAGCCCTTGAGACCCACCTAATTCAAGTTGGGTATATCTATACCTAGAACCTGCTTAACCCCTGTTTTGGAGCCAAAACATGGGCTTTTCATATCAAAACAGAGGTCCAACGGGTTCTGGGTAAATATATGTGGTTCCTTTCCATCAGAATCGAGCAACTTGATGGGTTCCAGTGGCTCGACATGGAGCCTAGGCATGCCTAGGCTACCTGCTAACCAAATCATCAGGCTACGTCTTTGGATGCTTTGCTTTCTTATTTGGGTCAGGGGTGATTTCGGGGGTGGTCGCCAATCTAGCTGTGACCTCATCATGACAGGTCAGACGGGTGACAGGCCTTTCTAGGCGTTCACCTACCCAAGCCCCAAACGCTGGAGAACGTTAACGCCTTGTTTTGCGGTTTGGCTTCTCCATGAAGCATCACCGGCATAACCTTCCAGAGAAGCGGCACAGCATGGTCAGTTTAGTCTTACAATGCCTTACTACCTCTCGCGCCAGAAATCCGCCGTGAAACGCGTCTGGCTTATGCAGGACACACTGGTCACAACATAAAAGAACTGGACAAAGTGGGGTCAAGAGTCGCACACTGGAATCTCCCAAGACTCCAGTGAGGAGGTGCGCAATCAACTGATACCCTTCGGGTGTCACATACGGAATGGCATGGTCGATGCAGCCTTGGGGCATGACCCGCCCACACGAGCGTGGTCGTGTCTTACAATGTCTTACATCTTCTGCAACCGAATTGACCTCGGAAAAAAAAGGGAAGAAGTACTAAAGACTCTTTACAACTATAGAGAGGGGGCTTCCTTTCGATGAGTCGTTCTTTGTTGCCGTGGAGCCAAAAGCCCCGAAAGCCCCGAAACGCGCCCGGCCGACGCCCGGGCGACACCAGGCTTCACTTCAAAGATCCCAGTAGCGGTGAGGTGGTCTTCCTCCTGCGCCTTCGTGAGGTCCGCGAGGGCCGGTTTTGGGGGGTTTTGGCGGGGTCTCAGAGGTGTTTGGCCATGGGGGGGGTGCCTTCCCAGATGCGATCGCAGCGACGGGATTGGAGAGGTATAGCACCTATAGCATACTATATATGCTATAGCTGTAAGATCGTCTCTATAGAAGTATGAGATGCGGTGCATGCCTTACAGACCGGATATATGATATATTTGATTGAGGAGGTCCCCATTTTCCATCTGACCAGCATCACATGGATTTTTCCATGCACGAGGTGGCTAGCTAGATCTGCCCCTATAGTTGTCTTTGTTTGGGGCCGGGCCCATTTCTAAGCCCTCTACTCTACTTAAAGACCCTTATCTTCACAAAGAATCCGTGAATTCATAGCCCCTCGGACGCTATGTCGATTCATCAGGGTCTCGTCTTTGATTCCGGGGCTTGTGCCCTTGATGGCCCTTGTGGCCGTTTTCTTCCACCCCTCTTAGTCAGGGTGTTTCATGCACACATCCGGAGCTTCTTGAGAGTTAGTCTTGAAGTCGAATTCGCCACAGGGATTCTGCTGATGTGGAGTCCAAACCCACCCTTGCACCTCCTTCATCCTCCCGGTCCTCCCGTCAGGTTGCAGAGACTTTGGCCTTCATCGCCTTCTTCGCCACCCGGAGAAGAGACTAGATCCGGTCCCGGTGCACACCGTGGAGGTGGATCGAGGGCGATCCAACTCGGAGTGAATCACGGCGCTTGTGGCTAGCTGCTTCGTAGCTGGTAGATTCCTGAGATGCCAGTTTAGAGCGCATCCAAGAACCAGCTGAGTTGGGGGGCATCGTGTTCATCATGTTCCATATAGAGAGCCTTGGTATTTGGGAGATCTTCTGCAGTTGAGGCTTTGGCACGTCTGAACATTCTCAGACCAGTTGCTGGCTAAGTTGGCTGTTGCCTTTCGCAGCGTTATCTTCCCCCGCAGTGGTGGTTGCTGCAGCTGCTTGTCCATGTGCACCTCAGGATTCTGCCAGCACCATACCAGCTTACTATAATAGCCACGAGCGTCCATGACATGTCACAGG